CCATGTTCATTTTGACAACATGTGCGTGCCTATGGTGGGTAGCCCATTTTTCAATTTTGTGCTGAATTTCAAGCACAGCTTCTCTTGTATTAATCCCACTGACACAGTGCTAACAGCAGATCTGCCATTTCTCTAAATGCATGTGTGAATGCAGTGCAGTATAAAGCCCAAACTGAATTAGTGCTGCTTCTGCTGGCAAGTGGGAGAAAAAGTCTCCATGTCATGTTTTAAGTGCTCTGCTTTTTCTGATTATTTCTAGCAATAAGCCCTGAAGTTCAATCTTTTGTTTGATTGGATATTTTTTAAATTTAGTGTATCTGAAAGGGATGTCAGGTCCATTTCTTGAATCAAGCATTGTTCTATCACCAGCCATATACAGGTATTGAAAAGTACTATATGCTCATAGAAGTAATTGAGAGAAAGAAATATGAGGATGCAAAACTTGCAGTATGGCGTTTCAGGCTTTAGATAAATGTACCTGCCAGTGTAGTGAGAGTATTTGTCCACCATCACATTATGGATTGTCTGTGGACAGAAGCAGCAGCTGGTAACCCTTCCATTGCTAGATTGTGTTCAAAAGTGATGAATTGAGACAAGATAGTCACAACAGACTGGATAAACAGCAACTCCAGAAACTCTCTTGAAAAATTAAGCTTTGGTTGCAATAAAAGTAAGCAATATAGGTGGAGATTGGAAGTCTTGGTGGAATAGTACATTGTCTTAACCATGCTCTCTTATAACCATAATATGTTCTCAGTGTGAAGAAGAGATGCTTAGACTAGAGTTCTTGTTACTTAGTATGTGCATTTTACAGTGTGGAGAGTCCAGTACTTGTGAGCCTCTGATTTTGTGTGAGCTAGAAATCCTTGTGTGCCCTGGATATAAGCATTGTTGGTAGGTAGGCAGAATTGCTCAGTTCAGGAAGAAACTAACCCATAGTCCTGCCTGATGAATTTTCGGTTTCATAAACCTTTCTAGGTGATTAGAAATCTGTCTGCATTCTGAATTTTGCTGTAAAGCTTGTGGTAAATAGAGCATGTTTTGTCTGTGTGTGTGAACTCATCTGTGAGGAGGAGGAAGTGGGCTCAGCAGCTTCTCCACCTCCTGATTCCCTGGAGGCACTGTCAGCCAGACACTTTCCTTTGAAGGGTTGTTCTGAGGTGTCTCCTCTTTGTTCTGGGAGGAAGATAGTAAATAAATGTTGATCTGTAACTGCAGCAGGTTTAAAAATAAATAATCCTTTTTGGCTGAGCAGGCTTGCGGGGTGGGTTTCTGAATAGGGATAAGTGGGTATTTTATCTTGCAGTGATGAAATACCTCAACTCTCAAGGAATCATGCCATATATATCTCAAAATCTTATACAAAACTCTGTGGTTTTGTACTTCAGGACTACTGACATATTGTTAAACCAAGCAAAGGAATTGAACTGCCAGGACTTTCATACACATCCTCTTTCTGAACTGGCTGCTGTAATTCCTGCCTGCCTTTGGCCATTGCTGTCTGCCTGTGGCCATCTCTGTACCCAGAGGTAAAACCCTCATCAGACTTACACAGAAGAGTTATCCCAATGGAGAGGGAAAACAGACATTGTTCCAGATAGGGAAAATCCCACAGGATCAAGGGCAGCCATAATTATAGCTGTTCTGCTTGGTAGGAAGAATGCAGAGGAACTACAGGGGAGGTCAGGCTTCAGTCAAACATAATACTCTTTTGTTTGCAGTAAATGCAGTTTAGCAAACAAAACTTTAATCAGTGGGACCAGAAACTTGGTGCAACGTTTACCTTTCCTGTGTTCCAATACATAAAGTGATTCCAGCTTCCTTCAGATATGTGTCACATTCTTCCAAAGTCCTACAAAATCATCCCAGTGGCAAATGTCCCAGTATGCCTTTTCCAGGGATTGATGTTACAGTAGCAGAAATACAAGTTGCAGAATTAGGTAAGTTATCATTTTTGTCTCTTAAGTGACAGAAAGACCCAACACACAATGAGGATATAACCAGCAGCTCTATTTGTAATTTCCTGTTAGAGTATTTCTGAAGACAGGTCACTGAATACTGAATCCTTTTGTTGTGTCTCTTTTGCCTAGGGTCAGTCATGAAATGTTTAATGTGGTTTTTGTTTTCTTTTCAGCTGAAATAAAGATCTGTTTTAAATACTACCATGGTGTTAGTGGAGCCCTCCGAGCTACTACTCCATGTATCACTGTGAAAAACCCTGCTGTGATGGTGAGTTTAGCCTATTTGTTCATTGTATTTGTAAATGATTTATTGATAAGTTCTATAAAATGATAGTACTGATAATAATACCGATAGTATTAACTGTCAGACCAACCTATCAATATGTCTCCTAGTTTTACTACTGACAGCAATTATTTTTCAAAACAATGTGTTGTCCTACAAAAACTATAAAAACTGGAAAGTGTTTTTCGTGGTTTTGTACTGCTCATAATAAAATAACAGTATAAAGTCACTGGGCTTCAGTGAAGTTTTTTATGCTAAGAATTTGGCCTTGCTTGCATTCAGTTTTTTGCTACTTAAAGTTTTCTGTAATTTAACACTGCAATAGAAATTTTTCACACTGAAACCCTGTCCAAAGTCTCAGTTTCTTCCTATTTCTTAAATATTTCCTAATATTCAGTATGAAACTGTTGCAGAGATAGCAATTGTTAGTATAAATGAAACTGGAAAAACTCTGCCCTTGCAAAAATGACTGAATTCTTCGAGTGTTCATATACCCTTGAAATTTAATAATTCTCTAATTATCAAGAAATATTGTCTTACTGCGTTTGTGTTATGAGACTTGTTTAAGTTTTAGAGGGTTTTTTTTAGTTGTTTAAGTAGCAATGGAATAGTTAAAGCAGTGGCAGAAAAGGCTTCCAAACTTGTACCATGGTGCTTTTGCTGCAAGCAATTTACTTAACAGGTTAGCTCTTCAGCTAAGCTTCAGCAAGTTTCACAAGGCATTTGATTTGTTGATGTTAGCTGCCAAATATTTAAGATCACAACTGTCAGGGTGGTGTCCTGACAACTTCAGTGTTGAAGATGCAGTAAAGCAGAAGTTTCTCAGACTGAATAGCATTTGTTCTGAACTTGTGCTTTTTCAGTGCTGTGTATTATATACAAGTGCATGCTATAGTTATCCGACACTAAATGTGCTATGTATCTTAATATACCAAATGTGTGGGGGTTTTCTCTTAGGATTACAAACCTAGGTGATAGCATCATTTACTTTTCAGATCATTGTCACATCTCACTATGAGTAACAGTTTCACAGATGAATACAGACTCGATACTTTACAGGAGAAAATGTGTCATAGTTAATGAGCCTGACAGCTTCTGTCTTTAATAACAATTTATAAACTAAAGGCAGCAAGGTAGTCTGATTTTGGACAAGAGGAAAAAATGCATCTCAAAGTCGCCCCTTAGACTGGGCTGTACACACTATATCATTACTGAGAAGCAGAGTGATTATACTGAAAGGAGAAACCAATTGAACCTGGGTGTTTTCTTGACCTTATCATCTTATCCACCAGTAGTTTTGAGATTCATTGAATAAAAGGACATCTGAACTTCTGTCATCTAAGTGTGCATTTAATGGCTTGGTAGCTACCTGGAGATCTCTCTTTCAGAGTCATGGTAATTCTTGACAGCTTATACCATCTGTTGCTGTTTAAATTTCTTACCTTTGAAAGGTAATGCAGGGTCCTGAGTATTGTACAGAATTTACACACCTGCTAGAAGGGTTAATTTTATATAAACATTATTGTTTGACTTAACAGTGCAGACTTCCAGAAATAGTGAGCTGTTAGTTTTCCTGATGAGAATGTTGTATGACAGTTCAGATGATACTTCCTAAAAATGTCATACTGGGTTAGTTACGTGTAAGTAAACCTATTGTTAAACATTAAAATCTCACTGCATTTCCGTGGTTTTAGTGTTGACCTTAAGCACAGTTGCAGTAGAGGTCACTGAGTTCTCTTGGTACTGGTTCTGTCTGTTTTTAGAGAAATGCTGTTTGGGAAAGTGGTAAGAGAGTCATGGTGTGCTCATTCCCCTTTTTTGTGGTGCAACAAATTCCTTGCTTACTGGATTTTCTCATACTGATGTTATATCACACCAGGTATTTCAGTCCATCATATTTTTGGATAAGCGGCTAACACACTATTGTGTTATTTTGGCTCGGGAGATAGAAGGCCTGATGGAGCCTTCAGAAACACTTTTTACACCAGATGACATGGCCTTTATGCTGCAAAACCTTGTGTGTGTGTGCTGGAATGAAACTTTTCACTTGACACAGAAGAATTGAAACTGCTGTTTAGATCATAATGGAACAGAGATTATACAGAAAAGTCATGGAAGTGCTAGAGACACTGTCACCATTCATGCTATTACAGCTGAATTGTGGGCAAATTCTATTTTCTATAACATGAAGTTATGATTAGCAATAAAAATGACATTATTTGAATTGAGTCCAACTTATAGCATGGGGAAGGTACAGAATGGGGAAGGCCTTTTTAACAATGAAAACAGTGTATGCTGAAATAAGCCCAAAAGAGGAAAGTGGAATACACACCATTCCTGTGGCCTTGCCTGGACAGCATCACTCTCACAGTGGGATGCACCCCACGCTGCTTCCATGGTATCTCTCTGTAGACAAGGGGACACTGATCCATCTGGAATTAACCCATTGCTTTTGATGCCTTCATAATTTTGCTACCACCTGTCACTGCTTACGCATCCGTATAAAATCACTGGCATGATAATGTCATGCTGGGTGGAAAAGGGATAGTTCTGAGCACTCTTGCCCTGAGAGGTGGAAAGTGCCCATGGAGCCAGCAGTGAGGGAATGGACTGGGCTGGCTGGTGAGTGGCATGGTGTGTCCCCTCACAAGGCTGCTGAGACCCACAGGGATGTCAGGCTCCAACATCATGGCTGTTTCTTCATCTCTTTGTCTGGAGAAATCCACATGTTTGCTAATTCCAGTGAAATTCCAATGTGCTTGCTGATCATCGTGGGAAGTATTTGAAATGATATTATTAAGTAGCTTAAAGCAGTATAAAAAGGAATGATTACGTGTTCAATGAATGCAAAGCAGCTTCCCTGCGGCTACCACAGCTCCAGAGTCATTTATCCATTTATCCATCTGGTGACTTCAAACCACTGCTCAGTTGCTCAGGGCTGCCTCACATTCTTCATCTACGCACACAGGTGTGCCCATTTTTATTCAGTTTATTTGCATCATTGAATAGATCAGACCCTGTTCTATCACTGGTATTAATCCTCAGTGCTGTGTTTGGCTCAAACTTTTTCTGTGTCACCTCTCCTGCCTGCCCAGGGAGCCATTTGTCTTCAAAGATCTCTCCACTGATGTCTCCGTGATAGATTATTTGGCTGGATGCACATCTCCTCTGTCTTGAAAGACAAATCCTTCTGCTAGTTGAAAGAGACAGACATTAATACATGAGAAACTTTTATTCTGAAGTAGTGCTTTACCTAATGAGGGATTTCAGTGGAAACCAAACCTCAAAATCTGTGAAGCATAAGCTTTTAGACCACATTTATATTTAGATGTCTGATGCGCTTTTCTGTTTAAAAAGAGCTTTTGTTAATAGAGCTGAAAGCTTTTTTAGTCTCTCTTTGATCTCCTTGCCTTTTTTTTTTTTTTTTTTTGTTGCACACTAAATTATCTATTTGTGGAAAGTGACAAAAGTTACATATGCTGTCACTGGACAGCTCAGTGCTTTGATGTGTATTACAAATCCATACTGTTGTTTGTTATTTTACAAAAGGGAAAGCTGTAAAAGATAGGTTTTCTCTGTTTAATATTGTCTGCATGTGTATTAGCCTATATATGTTCTGCTTGGAAGATTTGGGCTACTGGTATATTAGCATTGTGGGACATAAAAGATATTTTGCTGTAAACTAATGCTGTGGCTGAGCCTATCTGTGGTAATAAGGCAGTATTTGGTCAGATCCTTCTCTAGCATAGTACCTTAAAATTGTGTTATCGTCCTCAGGCATGTACAAAGCAGATGAAAACTTCTGTGGTGTATTTCTTTTTTTCCCTCCTCTTCAGATGGGAGTAGAAGGCACAGATGAAGGTGCTTCTGGAGCCCAGCACTCTAGGAAGTTGGTCAGCTTTACCCTATCAGGTAAAAACCAACACTTCTCAGTGTTTTGCAAATTATTTTTAAAAAAGAGTAAGTTACTCTTCTAAATAACATCAAAGATGGAATGCTTTTCTTCTTTAGCCTCTGTAGGAGCACACTCTAGTGGCTTGAAAGATGTCATTTCTTTAGAACTTCTGTTTGTTGAAAACCAGCCAGAATCATGGATCTGCAGCAGTGAAAGAAATGGATTTGATATATCCCAGCATGAAAAATAAAGGGAAATTTCCAGTTTGCACAAGGGACAGTTCCTCTCAGATTGAAGAGTGGAAAACAACTTCTAATTAAAATGCAGTCTGGCTCCATCACTTTGAAAAAAGCAATAGCTGCAAATGGTGGTTTAGAAAGGGAAAAATTTTCACTTGTAACAGAGCTAAGCTGTCACTACAGTGAAATAGCTGTAGGGGTGCAGTCTACCAGCTTCACTTGTTTTGATTAGCACTTTATTCCAGGGAAATCTTGTGTGAGATGGAAGCATATTCAACTTGAGCAAAGGCAGATGAAATTAACTTCTGAATCTTGAAGAGCTGACAATAAAAACGTGTAGAGATTTTAGAGGTAAAGGAGAAAAAATCCACTGCTTTTTGAAGTGGCCTTTCAGCAGTTACCTGAGATAGAGCTGATAGGTTGTACAGACTCACATAGTGGACTGTACAAGTAATTGCTTTGTAAATCTGAAAAACCTGTTTTGTTTAATAGACAGTTGTGATTCTGCCTGAGGAGTCCCATGATATAATTTTGAAAGGTGTATTAACTGATGGGCTTGTCACATGTGTCCTGTAACGTTTTCAGATTGTTCATTTGCACATGACTTTTTATTTCATTCACACATTATGTGTAGCTTGATTCTGAATATTTTGTAGGATTCATTTTTCTTTTTACCAAATCCACAGGCATGGCATTTAATTTTAGAGCAGTGAATTCTGCCTGCATGTATAATTTGTATGTGCCAGTTGCATTGCTGCATGCAGTATACTGGTGTACTTAATGGAAAAAGACACAAGTCTTGTGCTTCAGGAAACCTAGAGAGGAACAGAGGAAGGAGTATTTTAAGTTAAGTTTAAAATCTAATATTAAATAAAAAAGTACCTCTCTATTTTTGTTGTTGCTGAAGCTTGCGCTATCATTCAAGTCCTTAGTCATGACAATATGCTCCTGAGGAAATTATTATTTATTGTTGTAAGTTGTGAGGGCTGCAGTACTAAGGTTTCCCTAGGAAGAAAGAAGCGTTTTCAGAAAACTTTGCCTCCTTTTATGTGAGATGGATTATCTGCTCTGTTGTGAGAGAGTTACATCGTAGTCCAGAGCAGACTTGGTAAGTTACATCTGTCAAAGACTGAACTTTTGGAAAGTGTCTGTTCACTGCATTACCTCCCATACAGTTTTTTATCTCCTTTCCTCACCCAGAAACAAAACAAGTACTGTGTGATTAATTTTGGGCAGTTTCTGTTGGGGTTTCTTTTCTTTCTTTGAGTGGAAATACTGTAGATACCTTACTGAGAAAAGCATTTGTAGGTGAGCTACAAGTTTATGCTTTTTGTTTTACAAATAACTGGAGGCTCAAATGTAAATGAGGATGTTGATACCTTTCTTCCTTATTTTCCTTTGGGGAGACACTTGATTTCCTGCTGTACACTGGATCCAGTTAATGTATGAGTACTTCTAAGTTGCTTTATTTAGTAATCTATGGTGAATTGATTTCCTGGGTAATATTTTAGGAATGCATTACTTTGTGAACTAGCTTTAATTTACTCAGTTCCTTCTTCCTTCCATCTTGTTTTGTTTTATAGATATTAGAGCAGCTGGACTTAAAAAAGGCATGTTCTTCAACCCTGATCCTTATCTAAAGATGTCCATTCAGCCAGGCAAGAAAAGTACATTTCCTACGTTTGCTCACCATGGCCAGGAAAGAAGGTCGACTATCATCAGTAACACAACTAATCCTGTTTGGCACAGAGAGGTAAGGTATCCCTTTTGAGAGCTGTCTGCCAGCTGATGCAGTGTACCAGGCTTGCATTTTCTTCTCATGCATTAGTCCTCACCCTCTGAAAGCCGTGAGTTTATTTTGTAGCTAGTTATTTAAAGTGACACCGAAATTTTAGGAATTTTAGGAACCCTGTTGGTGGATAGAAACAGTTATCATCTGCATATTGAAGCTGTGTATTTAAGCTGCTGGCAGGTTTTCATTCCCTTCTCTGCTAAAAAAAGCTGAACTCACTTAGCCACCATGTAGATTTCTTGAAATTGCAAAAATAAATTAATTAAAGTTGGATTGTGTGTTGTGAGAAGAACTCTTTAAGAGAGCTTCCACTACATGAACATTTATGCTCAGTTATTGCAATAACTGTTCGTTTGGAAAAGGTATTTTCATGCTGTGTAGCAGGTGACAAATTTTCAGTTTTGTCAGGCCGAGGGGATGCTCTTTGATGTAGCCCCTGCAAGCTACACCTTGCAGGAAGGAAAATCCAGGAAGGTGTTAGAGCACCACTAATAAGGAGGGCAAACAGGTAGTCTGGCAGAAGCCAGTTTGCCAGATGTGTTTGAATTGGGTAAACTGTGCAGATCCTATGGAAGGAACTGTCATTTAATGCAGGAGAGCCAAATCTGTGCTTTTGAAGATAAATGTTCATGTGGCAAAGTGAAACTGCTGACACACATCCATAGCCCTTTCAGGACTGGCAAGCCTGTACTGTGGTGAATGTTAATGTATTCTTTAGGAAGATGAAAACTGAGTAGGCTTTGGGAAATGTTTCCACAAATCATAAAGCAAACAAGCAGTAAAGCAGAACTGAGCATTAGTCCTACCCTGGGGTGCTTGCTTGTGGGAAAGACTGTAGATGTGAATCGTCTTAAAATCTTTTAAACAATCAAAGTTCAGATCTCTGCACTGATTCTTCAGCTTTCTGTCTGTCTGTCCATCTATCCAGTAGCTAAAAAGAAAATTTACTCTTAACCCCCTCCTTTTTTTTCCTCCTCCAGGTCTCCTTGGCTTTGAAGCTTATTAGAAAAGAGATAATGTTCACTGGTGCACACATTATATCAGCTTGCTTTAGCTGCTGGATCTTCCCTGTAGCAATGCTCTGACAACAGCAGTTATGATCCCATTACATATTTTGTCCTAGTGGTGCAGGATTGATCCTATTTTGCATCTCATACTTTCTGCAAAGTAATTTGCAATATTATAGCAAACTGAGAGTGACAAATTTTTGTGTTTATCAGAGGAACCCAGTTGTGACAGTTGCCCAGCATGAGGAAGGGATTTTATTCCTGACCCAGTTTAATTCGTTTTTTTGATGATGTTTATCTGATGCCTGCAGCTGAACTGAAGAGCTATTTCTCCTATTCGTTGTTTAAAATATCTTTGGGTACCTAACCACATGTGTATTAGGCATTGTACACATTAGGTTGTGGTTTGCTCACAGGTCATAATGGTGGCAGATAATAAAAGTATAACCAGATGACCCTGTTTTTTTCTGAGTAGGTTATGCCATACTTTGCTTGCTTATTTGAAATATCTTAAAATCTAGATGATAAATAAAAATTTTGAGTTCCTAAGCTTGTTTTCCTAATTTTTTACCAGACATCAAGAAATCTGTGAATTAGCATCACATTGTTTAAAGGCCCCAAGTGCAGGAAAAGGTTCTCTTGAAGTTTGCTGAGAAGATTTGTCAACATTGGGGCAAAACTCCATAGAAAATTCTCCTCCTCTAGTAATGCTGCTCCTGAATGTACCATATACACATTGCCCTTTTGACTTCCTATCATGCATACAAAACATGAATGCAAAGCATGGTGTTGGGAGGGAAATTCTGAGCACAGCCTGGAGTGAGACACTTACTTTCTTCCTCCTGCATTGACCTGACAGAGTACAGCAAGGATTCCTTCTCTTTTTGCTTTCTCTTGTGCAAATAGAAGCAAGCAGTAGGATACATAGCGTTCTACTTTCTGACATAGACTGAAAATACTTTTATCCAGTGCAGTTTCTTGCTGAGCAGTTCTTTTCAAGGAACAGCAAAAGGGAGTGGGGAACATTAAAAAGCTAGTTACATATGCAGAAATTCATTAATCAGTGTTGCTGACATTATTTTGCCATGTGGAAACTGCTGTCATCAGTCATTACTTTCGGAGTTTGCTGCACATTAGTAGTAATTAAGTACATTCTTTCTGAATAAAGGTGTATTGATATGGTGTCAAATATGTTCTTTCCTTCCAGAAATATTCTTTTGTTGCACTTCTAACAGATGTCCTGGAAATTGAGGTTAAAGACAAATTTGCCAAGAGTCGTCCAATCATCAAGCGCTTCCTTGGGAAGTTAACCATACCCGTTCAGAGGCTATTGGAGAGACATGCAATTGGGTAAATGAATACACTCTTAATGCTAACTTGTGTTCAGCAGGAAGACTCAGCATCTAGGATGCTAAGAGCAAAGAGCAACAGCCTTTCTGGCTTTCTGCTACAGACCAGCAAATTTTTACTACATCTGTACTAAGAAATATATTGTAATTTTAATAGCTTTATTGCCTGACTGGAAAATGGCAGTAACCTTCTAGCCCTGTCCTGAATACATTGTGTTGGTGTGTGTTTGTCTTTTCTTTTCAGCCTAATTTCTTTACATAAAAATGTTACCTTCTGGCTAGCTAGTCAAGAATCAAGGCCTTATCACAATACTGTATGGTTGTGTGCAAATCTTTTAGAACAAGCAGGTATAATTGACTGACTTCTTGTACAGCTGAAGTCTTTTTAATTGTCATTTCAGTAATCAGAGATGTAGTATCCCTTCAGTGAATTGGCCAGGACTGCAAGGCTGTGACTCCTTATTAGTACTCATTAGTACTTATTAGTACTCCTTCTAGTACTACAGAATTACAATTGCCTGTCAGTATGAATAGCTTACAGATGGGACTCAAAATTCACCTGTTGTGCATGCCTTTTTGTAAAGGCTTTGCCTCAAAGTTTGCTTAAGTTAATGTGTCTCCACTGACTTTAAAAAGCCACTGGATTAGGCCCATGAGGAATGATGGTGAAATTAAATGGATATTTTCTTCTTTAAAGCTTAAGGGCACAGCAGTGTCATCACACTTACACAAACTGGCCTCCTTTTTCACAGATATTCCCCTCAAAGTAACAAGTTGCATAAGGGGAGAAAATCAAATTCAATTTGAAAACAGTTTTCAGCTTTACGTTTTCAAAGTGGTATCTACATTGGTAAGTAAAGGAAGAATAAAATTGTAAGAGTAGCTTAAAATTTTGATAATACCTTCTGACACAGAATATATTAATTTTTTTTTTAAAGCCTATCCATTTGTTTTGTAGTGGTATCCAAGAACAGTGCAGGTGTATACACAATATAACTTTTCTAAGAAGTTCCTCACCTTGAGTTTCAACAAATTGTGTTTGGTTGAACAAGCAGTTTTTTCTAATAAATTTGCACACTCCTATACACTGAAAAATAGCACTGTGATACAGGCTGGTTTCAAAACTTAGTGTAGGGTGTTTATTTTCTTGCTAAAAACCAGAATATTTTTCTGCTCTGGGATTCCTGGTGTTGTGATTGTGGAAATTACCAGTTTGCTGTGTTCATCTGTTCTCACCTCTGTTTCTTCAAATCATTAATCTGGAAGACATTTCCTGTTTTCTTCTCCATATTTCAGTTCTGTATATTTGATGTATCAAATGTATTTAGGAAAGGAGAGGCAGTATAAGAAATATGTATTAAGATGTATTTTGTTGGTTTGCCATACTGCTGTTAGAACTGACATTAAATCAAGTTTTGCATCTTCATCTGTAATATACCTGTCCATTTTCAGTTTCTGTGTAAAGATGGACAATATTTCACCAAAGGTTTTGCTAAGTAAAGTAGTGGTTAACCAAATATACAATTAACTGCTAATGCGCTTGTTATTTTTTTGCTTTTTTTTTTGTCAAGCAAGTATAACACCATCATTTTGGTGATGTCAAGGATGATTATTAAGAAATGAAAAGGTGAAATCCAGAACCAGACACTTTTAGATAAATTCTTCCCCACTTTTAGCTGTAGTCAGAGCTCACAATTTTGTATAATGAAATGGCCAGTGGCTTTTAATTTCCTGGAAAACATGATAAATGAGCACGAGAATCATCTAGAATTGCTTCAACTGAATACTGAGAAGGCATTATTCATCATGTGGCTTCCTCTATTCTTGAATGGCCTGGAGTAATATAAAACTTATGTAAAAACTGGAAACCTCAGCTATCTAACTGATGACTTGTAGTACAGAGGAATCTGTGACAGGTCCTGGAGACACTACTGCAGAGACTTGGGCCATAGAGCAGTGTGGAGAGGGGAGCCTGCTTGTCCACTCAGGGCTTTTTTTTTTTCCCCCTAAAAGTTTATGCAAACTGCTCCAGTTTATTTCAGTAATAATTGCATTTGTTTTATTTTGCAGTAGGAATGCTCTCAGTAAAGGAGAGGTGTTTATACTAGTATAAAGTTATTTGCATAAATAACAATAATTTCCTGTGGAGGTCTTTAGTAGCTCCCTCTTCTTCCTTCAGCTGTCCCAGCTGTGCTGAGGGGAGCTGGGCTGTGAATTCTGGCTGTGCCTAAATAAAAATGTACAGCCTGGGATCTGATCCAAAGTCTCAAGCTGATACAAGTGTCTAATCTAGTCGGAGCCCCACTGAATTCGGTAACTGTTTAGAACATATTTAAAGATAAATTCAAGCATTAGTAACTTTTCTAAATCAGAATGTAGAAGTGCTTTGTTGAACGTGAAAAATTATTGAGTAGCTATTTGTACCTTTTGTACATAGTAAAAACCACAAGGGGGCAGAAAGGTTTTGTTAATTATAAAACACTTTGTATTGGGGAAAGGAGGGGGTTAGGAGAGAGGGATCTTTGCAGTTTGATTTCTTTAGAACTTAAGATATTTAGGGATGTATAAGAATTGGTGGGGCACAATCTGTATTTGGAATTGATCAAACATTGTTTTTTAGGCTGCTTTATGAGTTAACTAAAGGTATTTTACACCATTGTTGGTATTTGTGCTTTTCCATGCAAACTGGAGTATGTGGCCAATTCTAAGACCATAATAGAAATTAAATACTGAAAACATGAAACCAGCAAAATTTTAAAAAACCCCAATATTTTTGATTTTGCAGAGACCAGGTTCTCAGCTATAATCTTGGCAGAAGGCTCCCAGCTGATCATGTTAGTGGGTATCTCCAATTCAAAGTGGAAATCACATCCTCTGTTCATGAAGGTGAGAATTTGTCAATGATCTGAATCTCCAGATAGTTGTATAGAGAGATTTCCTACGTGTTTCTGTGTCCAGGCTTTTCTGGATATACATTCTCATTCATGTATGGTCCCCCTAGTACAGATTTTTTCTATTGGGATTCAAAATGTAGATATGGCAGGTACTGCCTTGGAGATAGCAGTTCCAAAACTACCAACACTTAGCATATTATCTTTGATTTTCTTGGACAGATCATAGATGAATCTGCTTATGATTCTCATTTTATGCTTGGCAGCGCTCTGTCTTTTGAAAGCAAAATGGGAATCCTTTAAAGTCATACTGCACACTTCTTAATTTTTGTACAAAACAGTATAGACTTATGCAGAGAAAATTCTGTAACTGCTGTTCCAACACTGTAGATGCCTTTGTTGTTTTGATTGAAGTTTCTTCCCTTAGTTTTCTGATGGAAATAAGCAAGCATCTTCAAGGATGTGTATTTTTATTTAATTTAAGTGGAATGAACTATGTGTTGCTGCTCTGTGTTTCACATTCAGCCTTTCTGTCTCTGCAGATGCTTCACCAGAAACAGTTGGCACTTTGCTAGGAACCAACTCCGTAAATGGAGACTTGGGGAGCCCCTCTGATGATGAGGACATGCCAGCAGGACATCACGATACATCCACAGTGTGTTCCAATGGCCCAGTCTTTGAGGAATCTTCTGGAGACACAATCCTGAGACACTCTTTAAGGACTAGTAGGACTCTGGAGACAGACCAAGACGAGCTGACCTCTGGTGCTTCAAGATCATCCCCTCCCAGGGGTCGCCAGGACTCACTAAATGACTATCTCGATGCAATAGAACACAATAACCATCCTAGACCAGGGACGTCTGCCTGTGGTGACCGTCCTCGAGGAGCCTCCCCAAAACTGAGGAGTAGCTTCCCTACTGACACAAGACTTAATGCTATGCTTCACATTGACTCAGACGAAGAGGAGCACGAGCTGCATCAAGACCTGGGTTTTCCATCTTCTTTGGAAGATGATGGTGGTTTAGTGATGCTTAATGGTGCTACCAGAAATGTTGAAAGAAACGAAGTAAGTTCCTCATCAGATCAGGTAATGCCAGGGCCTGCAGAGAGTGAAAGGCTTTCAGCCTCTGATGCTCCTTTGCCATCAACTGATGACCAGCAAGACTCTGTCCCAGAGCTTCCCCCTCCGGAGGAAGGAGGCGAAAGCCTGCAGGGCTCTCAGGCTGAAGCCGCAGCAGAGCAGGCTGGCAGCGAGTCCCCTGCCCCTCCGGAGGCAGAGCAGCCTCCCGGCAGCGCGGACACGGCAGCTGCTGAAGCTGCAGGAGGCGGCAGGAGGGCCGTCAGCGAAACGGAGTCCATTGACCAAGGCTCGGAGCCTTCGCAGCTGTCGTCGGAGACGGAGCAGAGCGATCCCGCTCGCACCGAGAGCGTCAGCGAGGCCAGCACCCGGCCCGAGGGGGAGAGCGACGCCGAGGGCGCCGACAGCTCCTGCAACGAGAGCGCGACCGTGCGCCGCTCCTCCGTGGAGATGCGCTGCTCCTCCTGCGAGAGCGCCCGCTGTCCCGAGACTCCGGCCTTCTCTTCTCAGGAGGAGGAGGAGGGAGCCTGTGCCCCCGAGGCGGCTGCGGCCGAGGCGGGGGCCGAAGCCCAGGAGCCTGCGAGTGCCGCTGGGTCTCTGCCTGCGGTGCAGCTACCGCAGGAGGAGGCGCAGGAGGCGGACGCAGGTGAGCTGCAGGACCAGGAGGAAGCAGAAGAAATCTGGCAGAGGAGGAGAAGCCTGCAGGCGGCGGCTGCCCAGAGCCAGTCTCAGGATGAAGAAGTTGAAGGCGCACAGGCAGCTTGTGAGGGTGCCACAGCACAGCTGGAAGGAGCTACTGGAGGTAACAGCTGCAGGAGGCACTTTGGGGAGTGACCTCACTGCATCTGAAAACAAAGGTCGTTAATATCACACTTCCATTATCTTTCCAGATTGCTTTTGTTCCTTTGAATTTATTTCTTTCTTCAAGAGACTCTTGGGGGTTTTTGATTTAATGAAAAATCCAAGCCTGAAATATCCAAAATGTGTTTCCTTTAAAATTGAATGTATTTTAATTTTTGAGGGAGTAGTGAGGGGGATGAAGAGGAGGAAAGAATTCCACAAAATATTACCCTGCTCCCTAATGAAAATGGTAATAAGGAACAAAACTCCCCAAAAGTATGAAATGCAAAATGGAATTTATATCTGGCTCTTTTCTTTTTAATATGTTATATTAGCATTAAAACATAAGAGTAATCAAAAGAAAAGGGAAAGGAAAAAGAATAATTTTTGGTCAACTTCAGGCTCTTTATTGTCCTTTTCCCAGTTCCTTCTCTATACAGATGGATCCTAGCACACTGGAACCTTGGGAGAAGAGTAATGTGTTACCCAAGTTAACACTGTAAAACTCTTATTGATTCTAAAATTATTTTAACAGTTGAGAATTTTCTGTCTCACTAAAATCCCTGAAAGTAGAAATGCGTCCCTAATGAATTGTTTCCAAGCAACTTAAATAATGACTTATCTGTTCAATTTCTTCAGGGACTGAAGTGTATCCAATCAAGTGGGTTTCCAAATGCATCTTTTTCATAACATACCAAGAGCTAAATAGAAGTAATAATTTCTTCTTTTCATAAACAGGTTATTGACTTGGATAATAATTTTGCTGTTTATTTCAAATACTGTCAATATAGCATTTTCTAGACATTTGGGATGCTCTTTATTAGGTGTCAGATTGCATCATGTTTTTCAGATCAGTTTGGCTGCAGCAAGGAAGGACACACCTCCTACTCTTAAGGTTTCTGAGGAGGCCCAGGTGGAGCTTTGTCCTGGGGTATGGCTCAGGCACACGTTGTTTCCATGCCCTGGCTGCTCACAGATGGATGCAGCACATCCCAGAGGTGATGTTTCCAGGGCCAGGACTTCCCAGAGGAATCACTTGCCTGGAACTGTCAGCATAACTTACTCTGACCCCAAGAACAGATGACTGTTAGATATATCCTGAAATATCATAGTCCTGCAGGAGCTTTTAACACAGCTTGCTCAGTGTAGAGGCAACTCTAGGGTTTCCCCACATTGACTGTAAAAAATAATTTATGTGTGTTTTGGTTCCAGGGTCTCCTGCCAATGGCCATCAGCCCCTGAGGTCTCTGCCTTCGGTGCGTCAGGACGTCAGCCGGTACCAGAGAGTGGACGAGGCTCTGCCCCCAAGTGAGCTTCTCCATACTGTAACTGGGGGATAAGCGGCCTGGGTCTCATTCCTGAGAGTTCATTACGTGTCCTTTTTGAATGTGAGAGCTGAGAATGAGCAGCTGACAAGTTGGAAGTGAGGAGTGATGATGGTTGAGTCCAGTGTTGTTGTTGTGATAATTACACCTGGTGCACACAGACTTGCTGAGTGTCACCCATGCAGACAGTGCTGCCTCTCCTGTGTGCAGTGCACAGGGACAGGGAGATGAGGTGATGGTGCTTGTGAGGCACTGTGAGGTGTCAGGCACTCTGAAATCTCTGAATGCTTCTTGTGTGCTAATGATCTACAAAGGAATATACAACATCTTTCATATCTGGAGATAACTTAAAGGTGTCTGTGCTTTCCTTGCATTTTTTGACACAGAGTGAAGGTTTTATATTAAAATAAACCTGGACATTAAATAACAGTTAGATGAGCCTTAACCAACATATGCATTATAATTTTCCTAATGCATATGAAAAATATGTTGCTGTCAATTATTGGACTTACTTGCTTAAACTTCAGAAAGTGAAAATCTATTCAGTATTAGGTATTCAAAAAAGGAACCCTCCCCAAAAACAGGTACACAGCTAATAAGCAAACATTGCTTTAAACCAAATATGCAAAAAAAGAGTAAATTCAGACTCAGTGAAGTCTGTGGCAAAGCTCTGTTACTTAAAAGGAGTTGGGAATTAAGGTATTTAGTGTAAAATGAGCAGATCCCTATTTCCCAGTGTGGTGTGGCACTGTGTATGCTCTGTAATTGGAGCAAGTAAGTGGAAGGAGCCTGATAGCAGAACACAGATAGAACTGTGTATGGATGTATGGAAAGCCAGGATGATGATATGGTTGTGCTCCCTGCTGGTTCTGTTATAATCAGATTAATCCTGTGCAGATCTTAGAGTTAATTAACTGCCACACTATTATACCAGTTCTGCATTTTACAAAACTGTGTCTAGGAGACAGATATTTCAGAAATGCACAGAGATGGCTGGCTCAGTTCTGTGGTTTCAGAAGAAAACTATACACTATAATAATTACTTGGAAAAACTACTGAAATGTTAGAGGAAAAGCTTTGGCTGTGTTGTATTTTAACATTTCTGATATTTGCTGTGTTTCTGCACAGTCATGCATGGCATGATGCATGTACACATCCCCCCTTTACAGTCAAAGCCCAATACAATCTCTGTGTAAATAAATCATTTGCTAATATGAATGAAGTCTGCTCATCATTGCCTAGATTCATTTTTTTTCTCCAAAACTCTGCTTTCAGATGTGTGACAGGTTTAATATTTTAATACTGAAAAAATCAGTGAAAATATTAAGAATATGATTTTGAGTAGTAAACTGTAATTTCTTTTAAATTAAAATATGTGTATTTCTTTCAGTCTTGTGTTAGGTCAAGTTGAAGAACAAGAGAAAAAAATTAAATATTTATCTTTTATTTCTCCCTGTAATGTGCCACAATATGCTTCAGTTCCTACATTCCTGGGGAAAAATTAACAAAGCTTGACCATGAAACCTCGATGAATGACAATTTTGCAATTCAGCAAGCTATTTGTAACACACTTGACTAACAGTGATTTGATGGAATATAGCATTATGTAGGAACATAGCAGAAGACAGCCTTTTCCATCACAACACTGATGCAGATGCTTTACTTTGGAAGCCATTGCCCAAGTATTTAAATACTTGTGTATTAGAATTAAATGCAAGAAAAAATGGTTTTCTTCTGCAATAGCATGTTAAATGGTGACTGTGTCAGAATTGGACAAGAAAAATCCCAATTTATTATACAGTGCTTTAGGGCTTGACAATTAAGCAAGATAATGAATTCACATATGAACACTGTTAGGGGCTTTTTTTCTTGTTTGTTTTTTTTCCCAATGAAGAATTCTGTTCTTCCTGGAATACTTGGGTGTTTTATTTTGTTTACAAACTCTGGTTTAAAAACTTGAGTATTTTTATTTTATCAGCAGATACTACTTTCACTTAGACTTGCAATATAGATACTCTCATCTGGACACCTTCTGAGCTCTCAAAGACTGTTTTTCAGCCGATTTGCTGAATGGTTTGCATGTTTTCTGTAGTTGCAAGTGTCTAAGAATCAGGCATGTCTGTTTCTGTATAGGTGTGTACCTTTTATATACATATATATGTCTGTGTTGTAGTAGTAATTATTGCTATTGAGACTTGAAACAATAGAAGGGGTTGTAAAAGCTAACGAGCTCAAACAAATCAATGAGTAAACCCCAGGCCCCCATAGTTTACAGTGTTTTATTGCTCCTTAGACTGGGAGGCTCGAATTGACAGCCACGGACGGATTTTTTACGTGGACCACGTGAACAGGACAACAACGTGGCAGCGACCCACAGCTCCCCCAGCCCCCCAGATTCTCCAGAGGTCCAATTCCATCCAGCAGATGGAACAGCTGAATCGCCGGTGAGCATCACCCTTGGAGCTTGTGAATTTGGTGTGCTTGCAAAGCTGCATTCACCATTGCAGGGCTGAGTGTGGAGACAAGGCCACAGCTGCTCCCACAGCTGGCCTTATGTGGTTATTTTTATGTGGCTGTTGCTTTTAGTTTGCATGTGAGCTTCCAGAACTTTTGTGTTCCACCTGTGATCTTAAGATCATTATGTGACCAAAAGTAATACATCTGATAATGGTTGTCAGAAATTCAAAAGGCTATTAATGCAGAAATCATAGGTCAATATTTATTACCCTACGTGGCAGAAAATATGGGCAGGCTCCCTTGAAGCCAGAATTGGGTGATAGTTACCATATACTATATATAAAGTCCAGTTTTCCAACCCTAGGTACCAGAGTATCCGAAGAACAATGACAAATGACAGGCCTGAAGAGCACACAAATGCCGTGGATGGAGCTGCAGAGGAAGCTGAATTTCACCATTCTAATTCAGGTTAAGAAAAAAAAAATTTTTTTCCCCTTCTCCAAAGAAGGGAGCACTCATGTATGGTTTAGTGAGAGTACATAAAGCAAACCCTAACTTCTTCCTCTGAAAGTCTGTGTGAAGATGAATCCATTTGTTTTGATTGCTGTCTAGTTTTGAAGGTTATGACTCAGCCTGCTCAATATGCTGAAGAGAAGATTGTGAGATTCAGAGCACTTTTCTGTCAGTACTAGACTGGTTTAGAGAGCAGGACATTTGCAGTGAAAAAATATAAAACTGTGTGGTCTAGCTTACAAATATTTTGACTTTGCTAATGCAGTTTGAAACAGTAGAATGTACAACTAGAAAGTGCTTCAGGCAGTCATTGACTACATCTTTGTAAATAGATTGGATGAGCTGTTCCTCAGCCGTACTTGCCAAATGCTGTCTCATGAATTCTTATGTTCTCCACTTGAGGGACATTCTTTAATTTTTTAGACCATCTACTCATCATTCTTCTTATAACATACCCTTAAATCTATTGTTTCCTAATCCTTCCTTGTGACTTCTGGTTTTGACTCTCAAATTAGTTTTTTGGCCTACTCAGGATTGTCTTGAGTTGGTCTTCATCGTCTGAGGAATATTTCAGAAGATAAATAAAGCTTTGACTATGCTGTATGGAAGAGGTTGTGGTCCTTGTACGTTGCTGTGGGTGGTTTTTTTTTTTGTTTGGGTGGTTTTTGGGGTTTTTTTTTGGTTTTGTTTTTGTTTGGTTTTTTGTTTTGGTTTGGTTTGGTTTTTTTGATTTTTTTTTTAATAGTTTGGTACTAATAGTTTGATCTGCTAAAATCAGGTCCTGATCCTTGTGTGCAGAACTTTGGCACAAATGTCTGTTTTTATTTGGTCTTTGTGAGTTGATTATCCCTACCTGCACACAGATCTATGTACTTTACTGATCTGTCCCTATGGTTTTGAATCTTGTCCATCCTGCTGTCCAAGTACTACAGAATGTCTAACTGGAGCAAGTTTTGTCTTCCCTATCCAGTCATTAGTTGAAATAATGAGTAGGACCAGACACAGAGAGATCTTAGTAAAACATCTTGGTAGACTCTTACAACATTTATCCTATTCCTTCTAAAAACTCTTTCAGACCTCTGAAAGAGCCATCAGTGTCTCAGGGTGTGCTCCACTGTATTTCCTAACTGTTACAGTGCCTGTCACCTCACCTAAAGGCTTTGAAAACCTTTAATTTGCTCCACGATCTTTAACCTGCTCTCTGTCACCTCCATTTTTTTATTCTTCTGATAGTCTGGCCAGTGTTAACCTTTGGAATGAAGATAGAAAGAAAGACCTTTTTTTTGAATTCTGAACATCACTACTTTTTTTCTTTTCACTAAGCAGTTGTCTCCTTGGTCATCTTCCTACTAAAAATTTACTAACACAATTATAAAATTTGTTATCCATTCAGCCCCTTGCAGAGCTGTGTGGTGTTGTGTTCTTTGGTTTTGTCTCTACATGCTCTTAATATCCTCTTATAAAAGTCCCCCCTAAATTAATCTGATATGCGAGCAGTGTCACCCTTTTTCGAATTTCAAGGTCATTATAGAACTTGAGATTTACCCAAGTGTTCCCTTTTATTTCTTGTAGTCTTCCCTGCTGTTGTAGTCGTTTCCTTTCCCATCTTTGTGCATGTGCAGCCAATGGTTTGTGCTGTGCACAAATCAGCTTTAAGCAAATTCAGGCCAAATCCTATCCAGCAAATTCAGCTGAATAAACTTTTAATTAACCAAATTCATAAGCCTCAAACTGCAATCAAAACCCATCAGGTGACCCATTCTCGTTTCCAGATTACCCAGACTATGACAGAGGGTTTACCTGCTGCATGTCACAGCACCTTCCAGGGTGTGAGAGTTGCTGGTGTACACCCAAGTTTTGTACCAGTACAGAGTTCAGTATAACTTCAGTGTGTGTCTGCAAGACACTCCCAGCCCAAATATTCAGGCACAGCTTCAGGAGCCTTTGTGCCACTCTGCCTTCACCCCATTCATGACGTGCTCCATGTGATACAGCTTGAGGTCTATTGTTTAAGTAGTGTTTCCAAAAATCCTCTTGTTCATTTATTTTACCAACTACCCTCTCACTTCCTTGTTTACTCTAATGTGTTTCTTTTCTTCATTCCCTTTTATCTGCAATATTTACCTATGCATACTTAGAATTTTGCCTTTGTTGTTTTCCTCTTTTGTTATTTCTTCTTGATTTTCCCTCAGTTTAAAATCTCATTCACTGCCTTTCTCCTTGCTCTGCTTGTGTGTTATGGTCTTTTATATCTGTAATAGCTGTGGTCTACATGATTAATACTCATTTGATGGAGAAGTGTGCACATAGTGCAATGTTTAAAAAAGAGAGAAGATGAAATGTAGATGGCAGAACACATTTTAGTGTAATATCACTGAAGACCAAATCTGGACATGCAGTTTTTTGTTTACATCAAAAATATGCATCCAAATATCTTCAAAGAGAATTAGGGACAACAGTTTTGACATTGTAGCAAACACTACTCAATATATTTTCACTTCCTTCCTGGTACTGAAGGAAAATCAGGGCACTTCTGTAGTTGCTAGGAGAAGACACAAAATGTTTATTGGAAGTTGAAACTTCAAAGGTACTTCCTTGGCAACCTGATTCTTACTTAAATAAGCTGCTTCAATACTGTACCAGGGCTGGGGCTGTGGTAATGGCAGATTTATTGTTTGTTTTTTAAGAAGGAATGAAACATTTATTAGTGTACAATGATGTTTTTATCCATTAGTTAACATTTAAAAAACATCTTACCTGATACAGCTATAGTATAGCAGTGCAGACATGCCCAGGGGACTTTCTTGCATCTTATACACAGGCACAAGTTTAGTAACCCAAATAATTGAATGTGATGTTTTTTAATGGTTGTTTACCAAAAGCCTCAAGTAAAGGTTACTAAACTAATTTATTATTTTCAGAAACTTCAGTGTTATGTTAGAAGAAGTTCAGGCAGACTTATGTGGAGAATCCTCAGTAAATCTGAAATAGTTGTGTATTTAATGCTTTCTGTGCTGGTGTCATTCACATCAATGGTTGTTTGCAGGGATGTTTTGGTAATAACTGCTGGAAGTCTTTGTCATTTACTTTGCTCTTAGATTTTCGAAGAGAGAATGTGCTGCCTCACTCTACCTCCAGATCCAGACTTACTTTATTGCTTCAGTCTCCCCCTGTGAAATTCCTTATCAGCCCAGAGTTCTTTACAGTGCTGCATTCTAACCCTGTGAGTATGGTGGCTAGAGCTCAAAGGCTTTCATAAATACGTGCTTATAAATGCAGTTGTTTTGTATACAAATATACTGCTCAGTGTTTGATGATAAGATATTGGTAGTACACAGAGAGGCTCAATTCACTCATCATTACCCCTGAAATCATTGGGCTATCAGAGCCATCCTAGCTCTGCATGGTAGCAATTTTTATTTTCCACTTGATTCTTCATCTTTCTTGTGATACAAATTATTTGTTTACCAAGGCAATAGCTTTCTTACTGTGCTGCAATATTCTGGGAAATCCTGAGAAAGGCCTTGCTGCTTAATGACAATATTTGTTTCCCCCAGATTGCCTGGTTTATATCAAAGTATACTAGAGGTCACATGGAACAAAAAAACATCTTTATATACACCTTTTTTGCCTGTTCTTCAGTGCTTCTTTTTGCATAGGATCCCCCCAGTGCTTCTTTGTGTAATCGGATTTACAGTGCAAGGAGAAGCAATGGAATGAGTAACTTTTCGTGTGCAGGCACAGTGACAGTGAGCAGGGCTGTCCTTTGCGGTGAGAGCAGCTTTCTCTCTGACGAGCCTTTGGTGCTGCGTGTTTTCCAGAGTGCCTACCGCATGTTTACAAACAACACGTGTCTGAAGCACATGATCACCAAAGTCCGGCGGGACACCCACCACTTCGAGCGCTACCAGCACAACCGCGACCTGGTGGGATTCCTCAACATGTTTGCCAACAAACAGCTGGAGCTGCCCAGGGGCTGGGAGATGAAACACGACCATCAGGGCAAGGTAACTCTGCAGGGCTAACATGAACCTTGTGTTCGTCGGTTCCTGACATCAAATGGATGCGCTTGAGGTAAAACCGGTGGGCTGGGACGGCTCCGGGGAGGAGCTTGTGCATTGCTTAGAAGGAAAGGGATGGTATGGAGTAGGTTTCCTTAAGAGGTGTTAGAGATCTTAAATAGTTGCAAGTCTCACTGATTTTTTTTTTTTTTAACAGGTATCAATTTTCAATTTCCTAAAAAAATATTTTGATATCACTTTTATAGTTGTGATGCAAGTTTTAATGTAACTTTAAGCTAGTGTAGCCTCAGAATCTGGAACGTTATGTTTTTTGTAGAAAACAGAAAAATAGACTGTGATTAGCATGTGGAGAAGTGATAAATCTTATCAGTTCATTGGGATTACTGGCATATTTAGCTTCTTGGTTCTTATATTTATCACTCTCTGGTTAGCTGTGAGAGTCCGTATAAATAATGATCTTGATGCTTGGAAAGATTAGACAGTTCTAAACAGAAGGGTAAAAGTGCTTGAAGGTTGTTTTCTAGATTTTTTAACTCTGAAAAGCACTTTATTTTTTCTTTAGACACACAGTTAGGAATGTGCAGTTCTACTAACATTGTTCTTTGCCTCACTCACTGTTTTCTGTTTTAAGTCATTCTTGTTCTGTTCAGTTCTTCAGAGGCCAGTTTTCTCCTAAGAATAGAGCAATTTTCAATTTTCTTTAATATGTGCTCCATAGAGAGAATTAGGCCTTCGGATTTCTAAGGTGGCATTTGGTAACAGCAGTGCTACCACATTATTAATCAAGAGGAGGAAGCACTGAATAAATTCCTACTGGGATTTCCTCACTTTAAATTAGTCTTAGTATTGCTAATTTTCATCTTGTTGAATTGTCTGTGTCACAAGTGCCACTTGTGGCCAGTGGAAAAGCCTATTCAGCACTCAGGAGAAACCATGGCCAGTACAGGGCAAGACCAGTGCTTGGGGAGAGCAAACTGAAACTAGACCTGCCTTTAATAAAGCATAAGCATAAAGAGAAACAAGTAGAACCTAGCCATAGCACAATATATAATTATGTTTCCTTTCCTTAACTGCTCTCCCCTGCTGAGAAGAGGTGTTCCTTTATTTTTGCAAGTGTATCGCAGTGAGAGCCTGGTGCTCTTGCTCAGGGGGCACAGTGATGGTTCTGGTTCAGTAGTGGTGTTTTCACTCCCCCATGGCACTGTGGTGCTGCTTGCCTGTCCTCTTTGTGGGCTGTCTTCCAAGGTCAGCTGGGGTCTGCCCACCTCTGAACTCCCTCCCGAGCTGCACAGCAAAACCCAGCTGCCCACTCCTCTGTGTATCCCCTACAGGAGATAATATCATGCAGTCCTCCCTGAAAGGTCTGGTGTGACTGCAGTGTAGTTTCTGATGGGCATTACAGATGATCCTTCATCAGTCACTGACCACAGGGAGGCAGAAAGCCATTGGAAAATGTGGTAGCAGGAAGTATTATATAGGCTTAATAGGCCCCTGAGCTGAACTTTGAGATTCTGCCTTGCTGTGTCCCTGTGCATACACACAGGCATTGTACAGATAAGTGCATTTGGGCAGTGTGTGTAAGCACGTGTCCATATTTTAAAGCCAGATGCAAGTCTTTGTTCTTTTTAATTAGATCTCTGTAAGATGTGCAAATACATAGGAAGTTATTAGAGGAGATTTTTGATTTTTCTCTCTCCAGTTCAAGAAATCATAGTAATTGATTATTGAAGTCTTCAATAGGGAGAAAAGGTATTTTAGCAAGCATCATAGATTTTAACTGGAGGAATAATTAGGGCAACTATTCATTTTTAACGGGCTAAATATAGTTCTGGCACTACCTATTTTATGTCAGTCTCTTCAAGCATTGCAGATTTATGGATAATAGCTAGGCAGAAATTATGAGAGGAATTTTTTTTAAAGGAGATTGTGAACCACACTGTATTTTGAGCTGTGTGCCAGTGTCCAGATTAGCCCAAAGCACTGAAGCTTCAATGGTTATCTTTAAAGCTTCAGAGTGCTAATTTATGCTTTGTTTTAAAGTAGGCAGGCAACTACGAGCTGGCCTGCAGCTATACATATTTAGTAAGAGATGGCTGTCTTTATGTCTAAACTGAGTTATTATTTAAACAGAATGCTATGGAACACTGTATGCAACACTGGAGTGCTGCATTAACTCAGAACTGAATGATGCAGCTCTAGGTGGTACTACCTCCTATATTGAATCAGGATTTTTTAAATAATCGATTTACAATATGTGTTGACTTAATGAAATCAACCTGTGTTTTGCTGAAAGTGCTTTACATCTTATTAAATGTACAAAGAGTAGACAAAATAGATAGAAGGACTTAAAAAAACTCCAAACCAACCACTTGCTAGTAAAGTAGATAGATCTTAGCAATGAGGAGCAAAATTTTCGGAGAGACTGGCTGTGTTCCAGCAGTCTCTTGCAGTCACCTGCCAGGCCCCAAATTTAAATTTCGTGATGGTTTTCATTTTTCATTCTTTCTCACTGGTTTTGTATTCTCTAATCTGTATACTGCACTGTGGAGTGACATCATTATTTGTCAAGGTAAACAAGTCCTGCATCAGGCTCAGAATTAGCAATTAAAATTTCATTTATTGAATACACTTTATAGTATTTGAACTGTGGAACAGTTTTACTTGTGTATCTGTGGTTATATCAGAAGGTCCGAGCAGGGTTCTTACTGCTCAGGTGATGGGATTCCTTCCTTGTAGGCACAAGCTACAGGTACAGGTGATTGCTGTTGGGGCTGTGGGAGGCTTGGTGCTCTTTTCTGGAGCACTTTTAGGGTTCTGCAACTGTGGTGTCTCTCCATATGCTTCTTCCTGGGGAAGTGGAAGTATGAAGATTTTCTCCCACCACAGTCCATAATGACATTTAGTTGCTGTATAGCATGACACACTGGTTTGTCTACCTACCTTCATAATAGACAGAATAATTGCATTTTCTCTGGCCTGGTTTTCCCAAGCAGTCTGAAACAATGATTCCATGAATACTAGAAGCTGATGTTGCTGCCAGGAGAGTGGTTCTGTTCTCCTTTTCCCTTATCCCTGGTGAGCTGACTGAGGTTAGAGGAGCCTGCAGGGAGAGGGACAAAAAGAGAGTAATTTTAGCCTGGACCAGCTCCCCTGGTGGGTTCACTGCATGGCTGCACAAACACTTGGGCCAGCACAAGGCAGGAAGGGCACACAGGGGATGAAACAAGTGGTCAGGAGGGGGAAAGATGAGAATGTTTCTTTTGCTGACACCACAGGAATAAATTGTTTGTGGAACTGTGGTCAAAGTACCTCACTGGTAGCCAAACACAGAAATGGCTCCCGCAGTCCCTGACCACCTCTGGGCTGGTCCAGATTCTTTGATTCCTCGAACCAGATGTCACTTTCCTGTAATTCTCCTGCTCAAAACAGAGATCTTTTTTTGCCACTTCCACATGTTTCCAGTATTGTGACAGAAAACACCGAGTATGTTGAAATAGAACAGTGCTGGTTTCCAAGTGCAACACTGGTGCTGCAAAAAGTTTAAATTTCAGGGCTTAGGAACCTTTTTGGTTCAAATTGGGTAGAATTATAGGAGGTTTTAATTTTCCAGGATACACGTTCCTGTGACCTTGTTTTCAGCAAATAGTTGACTGGCCAATATGTAGTTGTTCTCATCAATTGCCTGATTTACATTTTGTTATTGCCATCATCTTTGTGTTCTTGGCTGACCTTTCTTTTTGGTTTTCAGAGGTTGTTGTTTGGGGTGGTGCTTGAGGGTTTTCTTTGCATTTTGTTTTAGGCTTTAGAAAAAAAGGTCACAGAGCTTAGAATAGTTGTAGCAGGAATACGGCAAAAATGCCTGTTGGTCTGTAATCATAGTTCATCACTGGATGCAAGCATACACTTGACATATATACAGCCAATTGTGTTCATAATTATAAGGTAAATACTTCACAAAAGGTAATGGGTTTGCCACTTAATGACACCTTTTTAGATGCTTATAAGGGAATGAAAAGGAGAATACACCAGGATTACTTATATTAAATATTCAAGCCTTCTCTTCTTGACAGTCCTAATAAACTTCTGATGCTTGTCAGATGAGAATTGTAAAGGACTTTATAGATATGAGTAAAGTAAGGCATTAAACAACTCATCACTTCGGTGGGATGGAAAAGTGTTATCCTCCTTCTGCAGAAGGGAAACACAAGCCGCCCTAACAGATTTCCCACAGCCCCACCTAGAAATGAAACCTAGATCCCCAATGGGCATTGAGCCCAGACACAATTAATGAAAAGGTGTTGGTGATGAACTCTCGGCTGTCCCTCTGCAGGCTTTCTTTGTGGACCACAACTCGCGCACCACGACGTTCATCGACCCGCGGCTGCCCCTGCAGAGCAGCCGGCCCACCAGCGCGCTGGTCCATCGGCAGCACTTGACTCGGCAGCGCAGCCACAGCGCTGGGGAGGTGAGTGGGGTCTGCTCCTCCTCCTCGGGAGCACCACCTGCTTAGCTGCTTAGCACCATCCTCTTTCACATCATTCCATGTGGGGAGGAACGTGATTCTTCTGGAACAGTGCAGCAGTCTTCTGTAAGGATTTATTATTTTTTTCTGCTAGGCGTTGTTGGTTCTATTATGTATGAATTCAGAGGAAAAATATCAAACATGAGCTTTTCTTATTTTGAATTCGCAGTAACCCTACTTAACCACAGGAGAGCATCTGATCACAGATTACTGATTCCTGTATCCAGTATTTCACTGACAAAATGTGTATTGTCTAACATGGTGTCTGCCCAGTGTGTTCATACATAACTGTGCAAAATAAGAGGGGGGAAAAGATGGCATGTGTGACTATAAATCTAGTTCTGCAACTTTCCCATGGAGTCATACCATATACAACTTTATCAGACTATTGCATGCCTTTGAATATGTATTTCATCTCTACGTTCTGATCAGAAATACATGGAAAACACTATTTTGTTGTTATGTTGTTCACTGGCTGTCCCCAAATTGTTGTTGCACTTCCTTATACTTGTAACCTTGTATATATGCAGTGACTTGGACTTCAGTTGCACTTTATTAAAAAACCTCTATACTGTTGGCTGTAGGTTGTCTTTTCAGGAAAGGGCTATTCCATGACAGGAATTCAAGATAATACAATTCAGAATAGCAAGAGAAATTCTCTGATTCATCCTTTCCCTAGCTCAGTCTTGTGGCAGATGAAGGTCTGCCAGACCTCTGTTTCAGTGCAAACATCAATCTTGTCTGCCACTTCCCTAACAGGGCTTCTACTGAGCTGCAGCAAGTGCCACAGAGCTGGCTGCATATCTTGTCACATCCTGTGTGAACATGGTTTAGTCAGCCCCCCTCCAGTGTCAGATATATTTTGCAAATAGTTTTAAATAGCATTCTCCATCATTTTAGTGATGTTGTGTATAAGACAAGAAGTGCCTTCATGTAGCTATTTAGATCTTGAATAAGGCAAAGCAAGTATTTCTATTGTGATTAATTTGTAGCTGAGAAGAAATACATTTTTTTCTTGACTTTACCCAATATGCATCCAAATTCTCTTTATTTAAGCAGCATCCAATAGCTCTTCATTTAAAACAGGTGTTTGTGCCAGCCATGCTGCTGAAGTTATCAATGCTGCAAAATAAGTATAGTTTATCCAACAAGAAATGATCATATATATTGCATATACATAGTGCTGCTTACCTGTCAAAATTTCCCACTCCATCTAGATACATGAAATTCCTTAAGCCATGTTTCTAAATGCAATTTTAGAGGTGTTTCCTTGATATTGTTGTAATTGTAACTTAAATTGAGGTATAATTCCTGATTGGAATCTCAAACATAGCAATTCAATACAGTATTGCCATTCTAGGATAATGATGCAGTGGTGTTCTTTTTGCATATGTATGAGCCTGAACACTGGTTTTTCCTCTGCACTTTAGGGCTTATGTATTGCATATTGCATATTTGCATTTTTTCCCTATTTTTAAGCTATTGCATAAAAGGAACTGCACACTATTGCAAAGAATGAGTACTTACTGAAAAAAAAAATCAAAATACTTTTCTTTGGCTTTACCTTGCCATGAACTTTGACGTTTTGAAGCCACTGACCCAGTTTTTACAGAGAGATGCTCTAAGGAAAACATGAACCAGTGTAAGGAATGCCTTTTTAGCTAAAGCTGAAGTGTAGTGTGAAGCTGGAGCTAATAATAATGGCATTCCTTTTCCAGCACATTGCCTAACAGGAAATAATTCTTCATTTTTCTGAAAGAATATTATGAGAGAGCAAAAAGGTCTTGGGAGATATCTTGGGACTTTTGCTGCTTTGTGATTTCAGAGACTGGATTTAAAAGAGCAACCTTTTATAATTACTTGATCTTTTGTAGTTAGATGTTTTAGAGATCTTTGAAGCTTGGGAGAGCAGTTCAAATGCTAACCATTACATGTAGGCAGATAAATGGAGAAGTAAACAAAGAGGTCCAGCAGGATGAAAAAGAGGTTGATCAAATGTTTTATAGAGATAAAATACTGAATACCGAGAAATGTCTGAAACATGATGCAGTAAACTGCAGCAGTTGCCCTGACATAACAAATGCCTCTAAGAACAATTTTATATTGTGGTTCTACCCTAAAAATTGTTCACATGCATTTTTTTTTAAACCCAGAAGGTAAATAAAAGCAAAACAGAACAGTGTTTCTGAATTATTCTAGGAGACATGCTTTTACCAATTTTGGACTTGTTTGCTTTGCCTGAATGTGAACTCACTTCTTTATTCTCATTTGAAGCTTCAGCCACAAACTTTTTTCCACTTCAAATTTAGGGAAACTCTATTCATGCATAGAGGTGATAGAGGTGCTAACGAAGGAGCAGAATTTGGTTTCCAGAATGTTTCATATAAAGATGTCCATGAATTATGAAAGACAAAATTAAATTACAAAATTAAAAAAGGTATCCCAGTTTTAATTTTTTTGTCTCTTTCCAGAACGGACTGTTTAGAAATAGCAGTAGATTTTGCATAAGTCTTAATTCTTCCTATTAATGGGCCCAGTATGCTAAATAATGTTTTGCTAGTAGCTGTCCTAACAGCACAGCTGCTTCCTGCTGCAGTGGTTACTGGGGATAGTGATCGAGCAAAGCCTTGGTGTACGTGCTTGGTTTTAAGCTGTATAGATTCTCCCTTGTCTGTAGCTGAGTGCATGTGCTGGCACAGAGACCCTCACTGTGGTTACTTGCACGTTTTCAGGTCGGAGAGGACTCCCGTCATTCAGGACCCCCAGTTTTGCCAAGACCATCCAGCACATTTAACACAGTCAGCAGAGCTCAGTACCAGGATGTGGTTCCAGTGGGTACGTCAGCATCCACCCTGTCCGAGGAGTTCTCTGTCACTGAGGGGCGATGGCAGTGTGCACTGCTGTGGTTTCCAGGCACTTGGGATGGGTAGAAGTCACCATTTGTTATGATCCTTCTGTCCATCAGCATTTCCCACTGTTCAGTTGGAACCTTCAGAGCTGGAAGTGTGCAGAACCAAGTAACTGCTGATGTATTTTACCTCCCTAGCTCACATACTCTGTGTGCTCACAGGATGAACTGAAGCCAGGGAGTCAGATTGTGGCCTAATTGGACTCCATGTATTCTCAGTGATTTTTAACTTCTTTTTCTTTCACAACTTCTGAGCATCTATTTTGGCAGGATTACAGAAAGTGTTAATCAGCTTGGAATTAGTCGTTAGCTTAACTTCTGTTCTCAGTTACATACACACAGAGTTACTACTGTGCCACCACGTACAGAATTTAGCTTATTAAATCTAACAGCTGTCACATTGTGCTAAATCAAGATAAATTAATCTGATTAACTGTAACTGGTTCTTTGCACTGTGGCATGTTTACTTGAAAACCTCTGCCCATTTAAATCCTCCCCCTTGCCATGGACATGGTCTGCATGCTTAGCAGGCTCAGCCATTAATGAGGATTTGATAGGAGTGTTTCCAATGGCTGCTTAATGCTTGAGAATAGATTACAGTGCAGTCAAAACCAAGGTCCCTGCAATTCTAACGTTAAATATTCTGGTTTGATCTTAGCTAAGAGTGTGAGTACTAAAATATAATAGAAATTGCTAACAGAATTACAGCTGTTAGCAGTGGAAGGGATATGTCACAATGAGATTTGGTTTGTAATTAAGAAGTGTGTTCCTTAAAAGACAATAGAATTGGTAGCCTTGCATACAATAGTATTAACCCAATACTTATAAACTTAAAACTGTGAAGGTGAAGCATGTCATTATTGTTGAAAACTCAGAAGGAATGGCATCCTTTGTTTTGGGATCTCCTTGTTTCAGCACGATATTTTTGTTGATGTTTTCAGCTTACAATGACAAGATAGTTGCATTTTTGCGGCAGCCCAATATCTTTGAAATTCTACAAGAGCGTCAACCAGATCTTACCAGGAATCATTCACTCAGGTAAGAACATTAGTGAAGTTTGCTATTCCCATTTCAGTAAAAAATGCTAATGACAGTTACCTACTTTCATTAATTAACAGTGGAACATGTAGACTTCTGGTGCATTCAAACATATTCATAAAGCTGTGGGAAACAGTTGTTTACTGTATTTCTGTGTAACAGCCTGTAACAAGGTTGGGGAGAACAGAGGTAATGTTTTATTATCAAATAAAGGTACCTACAAGAAAATGTAGGGAACAACTGGCATAAGAGATTTGCTGATGTCTTCCTAATGTGCCAAGACAGCTGGATGGCACAGCAAATGTGCCCATTCATTTGGGTATGTGTACAGCTGGGAGCATGAGGCAGAATGGCATTTGGGTTTGTCCTTGTCTTAGTAAAGCACATTTACAGAAAGGCTGTCCTGACCTCTTGACATCTGGAGGTAATCTTACATCAATCAGAATTTTTGATGTCTCCAGAATGTACAAAATGGGATATCTACAGATTTTTGCACAGTGCAACAAGATCTGAGGAAGGATGACCTTTGTTCTGTGGTTGTTCTAACTCCCTCATATGTTTAGACTTGGAAATGGAATCACTGGCAGTTTGGATCGTAATGACCAGAGCTGAAATGAATGTATCTGTTCTTCCTTGGGCACTAAATTTAAAAGATGCTGGTTTTGATTGTTGGCAGTCTTTCCTGTGCAGTTTTGTGTTCCAGAGGCCTACCCACACTGGCTGGCATGGCAGCCAGCACTGGTACTCATTTTTTTTGTGTTCTGTGTTACTTATTGATCCCTTTTCCTCTGTGTCCTGCAAGTTCCCAAAATTCAACAAGCTGCCCTGTTCTGCAATTTCCCTATGTGTAGTATAAGAAATTTTGTTATGTGACTTCTACGTTAAAGACGTGGTTTGCCTTCTAAAGAAATCCTGCCTGCCAAGCCTGAAACAACATACTAGCAGAATACAAGGTCTCTAGAAAATACAGCAGTAATCTACAGTTTTCAGCATTTCAAAACAGTTGTACCATATCACTAGAGGCAAGTTTGTCCCACCAGGCTTGGTTTGAAATCTGCTGGGCAGTAGTATACAAACAGTTTCTGGTTGCTCGTGGTTTTATTGCTTCATATTCTTTTTCCCAGGTTGCTTGATTTCCTTCAGGCTGATAGCAGTCGGTGTAATTGTCTTCATGTGCGTTGTGTGGTTTTTTTTTAACAAATTAGAGCTCAAATTGCTCACGAGGCTTGTTGGTATTCCCCAATTCTGCTTCTACTAGAACCTCGCTTCCTGATTACAGATTCATAATTTCCCATAAACTGAGACTTTCTCAAGAAAAGAAGAGTTTCAGATTAAAAATGGAAGATCAGAGGATATGATACTGTTTTCTGTACCTCCTCATTTGCCTGAGATTATATATCCTACTGTACATTTACTTTGGGAGGAGACTGAAGATACATGCCTTAAGTAACTTGCTTCAGCAGAATAATTGGGGATTTTAATGAACATAGTTTTATTTTCCATTGAATGGGGTTGGTCAGAAAAGCCCTTCTGTTAAGCTGAATGGTTCCGTTCTAATTTTAGTATTTGAAGTTAATATCCTTCTAAAGCTGATACTTCAGTAACATTTTCATTTTTATAAAGATCCCAGTTCTATTTTTCCTACTTAGTCTTTTAAGACCCAGATTTAGCACATTATTGGAACCCATGTCTATTTGAGACATTGTGAGACTAATCAACTCCATGGACATTGCTGTAACACTTGATAAATTAAGACCTAAATGAAATGCTTCGGTATGAATTCTTTGTGTAATTTTTTTTGTATTATGATTAGTCCAACTGCCAGTAATCTCTTCCTTTGAGGACCTCAGTGCAGTTAAAGTGGAATGATAATGATATTAAGTAATATTATTATTAATAATATTGTAATTATTACATAGGTGAGGAGGAAAATCAGTATTTGGCCAGTGGAAGAGGACAAAGATAATTTGAAAAGATCTCTGACATTTTCTGTCTGAAATAATTTCTCATTCCCTTAAAGAAAGAAGAGATAAGAAGTTGAGAGTCTATTAAAATATAAAATGAAAGTGTGCTACATGTAGAAAATTGCTGTTGAAGAGGTTTCACAGTGGAGTGAGAACATTATACTTACATATCTTTGTTAGGCACGTTGCCAAGATTAAATCTTCCAAGCTACTGCAGGTAAAACTGAGAGGCTGCTAAATAATGCAAAAGGCTTCAGGCAAAGGCACCTGTTATACATTAAATATAATTTATATCTTAACGGAAGGTAAAAGGCATATATATTAAAAAAATATCACTGAAATCACAACTCTCACTGGTAACCCGAGGAAGTCATAGATTGCATTGATTTGGAAGGCTGCATATATTAGTTAACCCAGAAAATGTCTTCTAGTTTCTGGTGTGGCTGCCAACCAAATGCTAAGATAAGTTTTGTAATCCACCATTTATTTCCCTCAGTCTTGCCATTTGGACATCGATGTGGCCTCTGGAAATGTCCAGATGTCCCTGCCCTGCCAATTGCATGGAGTGTTTTTGACCTTCTTGTCACTGTTGGTAACAGGACATGTGGGAGACAGACCTCTGAGCTGAGCCAATGCTGCTGTTCTTATACAGAGGTCTTTACTTTTCTGTTTGTTTGGGGGTTTTCTCCTTTAGATTTGGGACAGGTTTTACCACGTGGGTTTGGTTCTTGTTTTCTTTTCCTCCAGAAGTGTAAAGCCAAATTAGAATTTTCTCTACTGAACTATCATACTGATAAAGAAGAAAAATGAAGGATGTACTCATATTTCAGAATGCAGGGAAAGCCTCTGCAGAGAAAAAGAATAGGAATCCAAGGAATTATATTCAATACAGATCCTAAAATTGTGTGTGTTACCATGCTCAGAACTTAGGATGCATAGACTCCACAAGAGTGACCAGATTGAGTCTAGGAGAAAGGATGTGTGCTTAAATGAAACAGAGGGGGGAAATAATATAGTGTTTTACTGGAAGATAGCTTAAATGCAGTGTGGTATGAAAATGCTGGCTTTAAAATCACAAGTGTGCATTGTAATGTATGTAATGTATGGCTTGTACAGGGATTCAGAAGAGACTCTTTAAAGAGTTCACTTTTGCAGTTGGGCAGTAGAAATGTCCTCTTACAAGTTTCAGCCTCATACTTTGAATTCAGACTTGGACTTGTGCATGAATTTGAGGGATTTTCTTTTTTTTTTTTTTTTTTTTTTTTTTACTGTTTGGGTGACTGTACTGCCTGCCAAGAGCATGAGCATTGAAGAATGAGGGCAACGGGAGCATCCTTCCTCAGAGCAAATTATCTTTTTGGTTGTAATGTTTTATTGCTCACGTGGACTTGCTGTGACAGGGAAAAAAAGTAGGGAAAAGCATAACCCAGAGGTTTCTATATACTCTGTACTTTTCCTTATTGCTGTGATACACATTGATGCCTTATTTGCAACAAGCATTTTGAAAGGCTTTTTTTGCTTACACAGGGAGAAGATCCAGTTCATCCGGACAGAGGGAACACCTGGGCTGGTGCGCTTGTCCAGCGATGCAGACCTTGTCATGTTACTCAGGTAGGCACTGCTGCTGCCCGTGCCCGTGTGGGACATGCTGTGGCAGCTGCTGAGGAGCTTTCAGGGAGCAGTGTGTGCTGGTGGTGTCACCCCATCACTTCCCCTTCTTCACTCCTTGCAGCTGGGAGAGCTACAGCTCAAGGCTCAGGTTTTATTTTCCTCGTGTTGTTGAAGGTCACACTTTTCACAGGGTGATGGAATATGAAAGGCAAGTGCAAGAGCGCTGTGCTTTTGATTTATATGGGTTTGCCCAGACCAACTTTAATTGTCCTGTTGCATCCAGCCCTGATGCTTAGAAAGGTGGTACAGCTCAGACCTTTATTCAACAATGTGCCTTGTGCTACTTTCAGAATGCATCTGTTTAGTTCTGTGCTTTGGGAAGTGCCTCTTTGTAAAGGCACATGCTTGAGAGGTGTTGTTATTACTTAATGTCTCACTTGCCTCTTCACTTTGCTCTCAAGCATTGTCCCTTTTAGTATAGGCAATATTCTTACTGACTTCAGGAATTGGGAAGCTGATTGTTTTACTAGTTTTCATTTAAGCTATTAACTCTACAAATCAGGCAATTTTTTTGCTGAATTTAAACCCTTTTATCTTGATTCTATGCTCTCATCTGCTTTAAAAGTGCATCAAGAAATTCACGGGTGCCTTTAAAATTGAATCTAGTGAAATACAATTTACATTAATAGTTATATTTTGAGGCCAGGTTGAATAATGATAATCCTTTCTGGTCCCTAAATCTCCAGATTATTACAGCTATTCTTAAAAAATGACGTTTTAAATCTATGTTTGGGCCTTTTTGACATGTAAATATTGTTTTTTTAAAAACTTTCAAGATTTCTATGTGTAGCTTGGAGGAAAGCATCACATGGCCATAAAAAAACCTGTCAGAAAGGACCCATTGAAAAAACATCCACATTAAAAAGTCTAGATATTTGTTTGGTGAACAGATTTAGTAAGAAATGTCTTTTATTTGAACATTGTTCTCATTGCATTGGATAGTATAAGATTGGCTTGCAGTTCTTTCTATAGCTCAATTTTTGAAAATAATTTTTACATATTATCGCAGCAGTTTGTTTGTGTCATGTTTCACATTCAAAATACCTGTTGATACCAGATCCATTCATATTCTGTCCCTTTTTGGATTTGCTTGTGTCAAACTTGGGAAAAGACTGAAATTTTTTCATATCTATATAGGCATATGTAAACACACACACACAGATGCAGTGATTAGGCTGCAAAACGTTTGGATTTTTTTCACCTAAAAAGTTGTGTATCAATAATAGATAAAGCATGAAGTAACTCAGCTTGAACAGGCAAGGTGTGATACCTGTTATAATTTAAGTACCAGGAGTGTTATTGAATGTAAAATGTTATGCTAACAAGCTTACCAGTCAATACACTTAAAAAGTTCAGATGTGATTCTTAATCCTGGAGCCTTAGAATGTTTCTGAATAAGGTTATTGACCCCTTTGTAATGAGAACATTAAAAAAAAAAAAAAAAGAGAGGAAGGCTCATGAATTTTCAAGGCTGATTAACTATATTTTAACCTTGAGAACAAATACCCAAACAGCAGTTACTGCTTTCCAGTACTTTCAAAATCTGCTTGAGAAAATGGCAATAAAATGTTTTGTAGTACTCTAAGTGCACACAGTGGAAATAGGTGACTACCAAAGAAAGCAGGTTGATAACTAGAGATTTATCCCTAGAAAGTGAAACCTGCCATTTATTTAAATAAACATGTTCTTTCTTCTTTACTCCTTTTTGCCAGCTTGTTTGAGGAGGAAATAATGTCATATGTGCCGCCACATGCCTTACTTCATCCCAGTTATTGCCAGTCCCCGAGAGGCTCGCCCGTGTCCTCGCCTCAGAACTCTCCAGGTAAGCTGCTCCAGGCAAAGCTTCTGCAGGGGCTCCATGAAACCCCTTCTCATCCTTGATAACACAAAAATCTAGAACTATTTTTGAGCAAAGTCAACAAGTACAATTGCATTTGACTGTCAGACCTGAACCTTTGCCTTGGGCTCACAAGATGCTTTGCTGGGTGTATGACAACTTCAGGAGCTGTGATTTTGTTCTGACTTGTAAAAAAACATGCAGACTTGTTTCTTACTGTTGTGAAACAACTAAATCACTGCTCATGCCAGCATCCTGATGCCTGGAGAATTAAAAGCATGGATCTAATAACTGTACATTAAAATGGCAATGTAATGGGGCTGTGGGGCAACGAGGGACAATTTTATACTGCAGCTGTCTGAATATTCATGTCACAATGGAATGAAGCTGATATTTGAGATTCTAACTAAATTGGAGATCAGAACTAAATTATTGCAAGTTTGACAAGTTCTGTTTGAAGGCCATGTTGATAGATGTTGCTATGCTTAGTTTCCTCAAGATAATAGATAAACAATTCGGAAGTGGCTTATCACAAATTTGATAACAAAAGTATAGATAAAGAGAGAACATTTGGATGTAAGCAACTCTAGATAGTTCCAGACAACAAAAATTTTTTATCAGAAAAAGAGCTGTGATTTTCTTGGGCATTTCCCAGTCCACAGTAATAAAAAGCTTTGCCTTTTCATGGAACCAGATTAAATGCATTCATAAACATGTGGTAGCTTTTCCTGCTGTTGGACAAAGGACCTCTGTAAAATCTCTCTGAAGAAACTATCTGAAGACCTTTATGATCTTATAGCATTCTGCAGAACAGTGAAATACAATATTCACATTTATTAGTACTTTCAGTGTGTGTAAGGTTTAGATATAACTGTTTCTCTGTATTGAATAGAAGGGAATAATCTGCATGTATGCATCTTACTTCCAACTGCAAACCTGGCAGTCTTTTACAAACAAAACCAGTTTTGGCTTCCAGAGTTAAGATTTCTTAATCACTGGTACCTGCACCAAAGCATGCTGGGTATGGCTTCATTCCAACAAAGTAATTTCAAAATACATTCAGTCTTTAACGTGTGATATTCTTATTTACTCACAGTAGCAGCAGATAGTAGAGAATGAACAGTAATGTTTTTTTTCTCCCTAAGACTGTAATCTCTCTTCTGGCTCATAGAAAAATATAGAGAGGCCATTGAATCTCTCTGTCAGTCTGCAAGCATGCACGTTTGTGTTGGTGCACAAATGACTTTTTTGATGAGAAATTGTAAATAGCCCATGTTTCTATGGAGGCTCTGTGTTTTCTCATCAACTAAGCTGGCTGTGCTGCACTGCATGAGGTGGGGTGTTAAGGATCCATTGTTCAGATCAGTCACAATTATTTGTACTTTCTCCTCTGGGAAAGATGAATAGTCATGAAGCTACTCTTTATATCTGCTTTAGAATATAACCTCTTTGAAAATCGAGTATGATTATCACATCTCTGGTAGTTTTTAGCTCTTCCATTAACATCTTTTGTTCCCAAGGCGGAAGTAATAACTATAATTGCCCAGGAATTTCTTGGCATCTGCATCTGATTTGCAGTGAGGACTTGTCATGAGCTGACAGAACATTATGATGCTGATTTCTGAACCATGAAGCAATGTGTTATCAGATTCATGTTTTGTGGTACCCTTCAAAAAAAAAAATCCAGCTTCTTTCAGGGGTTAACATGAAAGTATATTTTTGTTGCCTTTTTCTGATGACTGCATTTTTGTACATATGACCCAAAGCAAAACAAACGAGGGGGAAAAGGCCAATAGTTAAAAGGCTGTTTACAGTTTCTGTAAGTTTTCAGGCGATTTCAGCTGAGTGTGCCTTTAGAAACTCTTGGTGCTCTCAGTGAAAGAGGAAAACCACTATAGATGAATCCATGACCATGATCTGTTTTTCCAGAGTGGTCCTTCACGTTCCTTTTGGAGCCCTGCAGATTCCATGATTTTTACTATTCCTCCCACACTTCACTTCAAGCCTGGAACAAGTGCCAAGTGTCTTTCTGGTCAGACAGGTCTGTTAAAGACCTGTTAAATGGCGCTCAGTGTTGTCAGTGAGCTGTCTCTGATCCCTGCAGAGATAGACTCTGCAGCTCCTTGCAGCGCCCACTTCCGCAGGATGTGCTGTCGCCTTTTCCGTCAGACCCATGGGCTTTGTGGCCGCCCTCCTTCCCCTGTCTGTGCCCACAGGCTGAACGGATGCAGCTCTTCTCTTCTATTACCTGAAACCTTACGTTCCCATGCCTTCCCCCACGGTACCAATCAAGGTTTCTGTATTGGCTTAGCGTCGTGCAGGAAGCCAAAAATAAACTTGCATGAGGAACTGAGTTAAAAGACAGAACTCTGCATAAAAGTCCTGCTAAACTATTCATTTATGCTTTCAGTGCATTAGAGGTGACCAGTAGTTCTACATAAGTAGTTGGCAGCTTACGTGTACTTTAAGGCATGAAAAATTGTAAACATCCTCCAGATTTTTTATGTTGGATGTCTACACAGCCATGCAAGGAAGGAGTTTAACTGCCTCTTTGGTACCCTGCTTCACAATCAAATCAGTGGAAATAATTTATCCAGGGAGGCATTTAAAATCCTAATGATGGCCATTTTCAGAATAGATCAGACTAAACACCTAATGCAGTTGAAGGATATGCCTTTTTTTGGTGTACAGATGTCATCTCTCCTTGCTTTTAAGAAACTGATCCTTAAAAACACTTTTTCAAAATTAAATTCACTTACATGACCATCATGTATGTTTCTGCAGCCACAGATTAGAAGTTCCATAAACTTAAATTCGGTAGTTTTCCCATTTTTCCTATATTTTTCTTCCTTCTTACTTCCCTGCAGAAAAACTTCTATTAAGGAATTTTCAAATATTTTCGTCCTTCTTCCTGGTGTAGTCAACAGGGGTAATGCAGAGTCCAGACTGTTTATGCTTCATTTCTGAGTTGTTGTTTTCCTGATAATATTGAAACCAGAACAGAACATTTATCGTATGAACTATTATAAAGGTTAGACATAAAGTGTAGTTGAAAAAGAAAAAGGAAAGTCTTTCTAGTTGCTTGTGCTGTTTTTTTTAATCCATCTTTTGCATTGACCTGGATTTGCTCTTTTAAGATTTACTTTTGAAAGATGATACTATTGGAAGTGAGCAACCAGAAAGTCTTGGATGCAGAGCAGATTTGAAGATATGCAGCTTTTACTCTTTATAAAGGTGACTAAACCAAACACATACCATGCATACCTTTTGCTATTAAGGAGTCTTTCCAGTAGCAGATGGGACATCCATCAGTTCATGTCACTGCAGCTCATTCTTTGCTCCTTGCTCCCTGCAGGTACTCAGCGTGCCAATGCCCGAGCTCCAGCTCCCTACAAAAGAGATTTTGAAGCCAAGCTGAGGAACTTCTACAGGAAGTTGGAGACTAAAGGATATGGACAAGGCCCAGGGAAATTGAAGTACGTTGAAGCAACTCATGAAACTGGATTTCTTTTTCGGCAGCTTGCCTTGCCTCGCACATCTGCAGGCTTCTTCCCATTAGAAGGAATGCAGAAGTTACGGTTACCCAGGCATTTCTGGGAATACAAAACCTGTAATAAAAGACTTAATGCCAGCATGTGATTCATAGCAGAGAATACAGCAAGTTCTGAGCACCTCTGTGCTTCCTCCAACTGTGTTTTTGTACAGACAGTATTACCAATACGGTGCCAAAAAGAGCTTTGGGAAGAGGCCTGCAGAACAGGAGGCATCTGAATTCTTCCATTATAGCAACTGCTATGATATAAACAGTTATATTTTCTCATATCTTTTTCCACTAAAAAAAAATTAGCTAGGACTATCTTTTGTACATCATTGCCTGTCCTGATAGCATAGTCCTCTTTAGTAAAGAGGATTCATAAATTAAATGTTATTAAATTTTAAGGATTGCCTTTAAAAACTGCTAATATTTTTATTTTAGCACTGAATGCTAGAGTGCTTGGAGTGAGGTCTTCCCTCCTTCATTTATCTGCTAATCATGTGATTACATACTGTTATATATAAGGATTATCCTCACAAGATACTTCCAAAATTTTGTAAATTTCCAAGTCTTGTGCCAGTTATCAGACTCATAGCCATGAGGCACTAGAACATGATTTAATAATTTCCTCTGTTATAAAAGGGGGTTTTCTGTTTGGTTTTGTTTTTTGTTTTTTTTTTTTTTTTTATTTCCTTCAGCCAGTCACTTCTCTTATTCTTCAGAAATCTGTGCAAAGCTTTATTCATGCGAGCTTGTTACAAGTTTTGCAAAACCGAAATGGGATTAAAATGGTATTGTTTATACATGTCTTAAGAGGCAAAGGTTGAGCACTGTCTGCCTAGAATATAATGAAATCATAAACAGTTAAAACCTTATCTATGAAAGCTTTGTCCTGAGTGCTTGGGCAAATAACTGCTCCCTATAATATTTATTCCATTTCTTACACCTGTTTTTCCATGTCCTTTCTTCCCTGACCTATTTGCCATCACGCTGCAGATTTTTAGGCTGTAGTTTGACATGTGAATGGAACTTTTCTCTGGGTTGCTTTCCCAGGCTAACAGTGCTGATTCAAGCAATCAATGCTGTAGATTCAAAGCAGGGCTCAGCAGAGCTCCACTGCTGCCCGGGTCCTCTTGTTGCCCAGGTCCCCGCTCAGTTCCTGGGCTCTCTCCTTGCATGATGGCTCAGTGCAGTCACTGAGCCCTGCAGGGGCTTTGCAGGAGGCTGGGCTGGGTTCAGCTGCCTTCCTGCAGGCAGCAGCAGCTGCCGTCTCATGGGCACACACAGTATTTGGATATAAAGCTAGTGAAGTTCCAGGAAACTAATTAAACGCAATTTCTTTTGGCAGATGATAAAATGTTTAAGTAAGGAGGATTCTTTCACCTCTTGCTTTAGATCTTTATAACACTTCCTCATTTTCACAATTTTTCTTTCAGAAGGTACATTGCGGTTTCACATGTGATGCTTCAATGAGGTTTTGTACAAATAATTGCCATTCCTTCTAGACTTTTTGTACCATCACACACTCAAGGATAATGCAGGGATGTGTGTTTCTGGGTTTACCCTACTGTGATTTTCCATGGTTTTATCTTTTTCTGTGTGAAGAGATTGATTTTTACAGGAAAGATTAGATTCCTGCTCACAGTAAAACTCACTTAGGGGCCTAGCTTTACAAAAGGATTTCAGACCTAATGAAAATGCCAGCTTCAGGACCTTTCCCCTTAAGACTTTAATTTTATGAAGAACCAAGGTAAACAAAACAAAACTACTCTTCTTTGTAAAAGGGACATTTTATTGAAACCTAAATGGGAGCATTGGAGGAGATATACTAACAGGAGCTTCCTGATCTGGATAAAATTATCCAGCAGAAACCGGTATCTCTAAAATCACCCTGTTACTATCCTGCCATGTAAATAGATGTTTCCAAATGTGGTTCATGTTCACAAATTGCTGTTTCAAAATAATTTTTCCCTTCAGATTAATCATCAGGAGAGATCACTTGCTAGAAGATGCCTTTAACCAGATCATGGGCTACTCAAGAAAAGACCTGCAGAGAAATAAACTCTATGTCACGTTTGTTGGGGAAGAAGGGTGAGTAGAACAGGGAAGTATCTGTGGTCTGAGAACTCAGTGTCTTGCAGCTCCTGTCCCACCAAACTTGTTGTGTAGAGTTAAAAGAGGAAGGACTGCAGTCAGGAAATGCCACATACATAAGTCTAGAACATACAGCTGTTCAAGATGGCTTCTTAAGCATTTTGCAATGTAACATATCCTGCCTTTGCAGAAGTAATGTGAATTTTCCCAATAGTTGTTGTGTGTTTCAGAATGTTTCTGGAAAAGCAAATTAAAAACCAAACAGCTTTCTTGTGTTATTCATATTTCTTTTCTCTCAGTGCAGTTGTGTCTCCAGGGCTTACCAAAAGACAGGTGCCATTTGTTGGAGGGAGAGTGCTTTCAGAGTAGGCTATGGGCTCAATCCTTAATTTAGCCCCTGTCTGAGGCACTGGGAGCAGAAAGTCCTCAGTGCTGCAGGAGGTGCTCACTGACTCTCCAGCCCGGGGGCTTACATTGCAAATAAAAGCAACTGGGCTGTTGCCAGTTGTTAAAAATACCCAAATATTCCTCAGGCTTCAAAGTCACATTCAGAGAACGCTCAGTCTGTGTCTAATGAAAGTCTAATGTGTTACAGGTTGTGAGATGTGCTTTGCAAAGCAAGATATGGTTAGATTTCCTTTGCAAGTGAAACTGAAACAATGCACTATTTGCTGCTTTTGTCTCTTGATTTTGTAGGTCTTAAAGCCCACTTGTCTGTTGAAATGGTTTATGAAAATGTTCGTAAATACATTAAAACTTTTATTCTGTGATATTCTGATATTCAGAAAACTGCAGCACAGCTCTTGGAGTGCTGTAGTGTGTGCTATTGCCACGCAGTGTGTGAGTCTTTAAAATGCAAAGTTGTAATAGAAACATCTCTTACAAGATTAGATAAAATTAGTATGTCTTTGAAAACCTCTAAATCCTGCTGTTTGTTTAAAGTTCACCCTGAAGCACTTAATGTTAATAAAGACCCAGTGAAGTCTTAAAATAAAGAAAGTTGACAGCTGAGAGCCAAGTGTGGACTTGTTCATATAAATAATATCACCGTGCTGTCTGAGGAAAAGCTCAGAACTGGAATGGCAAGGCTGGTGCACAATGAGATTGCACTGTATTGACAAAGGAGGGTGGGGATGCAGGAGCAAGGCCTGTTTCACACAGCCCCTACCAACCTTTACTTTCACAGCTACAACCTCAAATCACATTTAAGAATGAAAGGGAAATTTTAAAAATCCTACATGAGATATTGATCCGGATACACTATCTCCTTTCATCAGATGTCAGACTTCTGCATTTCACCACTCAGCAACATGAAGAGTGACCTGGAAATGAGGGTGACACCTCTTGTCCCCATTATATCCAGCTTTACATGAGACTCGAGCCTTAATGGAAAAGAATCAGTTAATTAAGAACAAAGTCAAATTAAAATGACGTCAATCCTTTGTTTACACATCTGTATTTTTAATGAAGAAAGGATGTGTGCAAACAGTATTGTTTCATCAGAGATGGTGCAAGGATATGTATCACATCCAGGTACTCATTTGGCCAAGTGAAGAAAGACAGGTCAGGGTGGAGGAGAGGAAGAGTACTGAAAGTTAATTGCTTCCTATTTGCTCCTCCTTTTTTAAGATTTTAAGTAGGGGTTTGCTTTTGCATTTCTTTTCCTCTTGGTAAAGAGATATAAGTCATAAAGTAATGGGTAAGGAAATACTTACATAATACAACGTTTTAGTAACTATTGATTTATTAGTGTATAAAATAGTAATTGGGGCAATTCAGGGTTATTGCTGTACAAGTGATTTCTGTCATAAGTCTCGTGTTTATCTTCCTCAAATCTTCAGTTTCTATATTCATAAATTGTGATGCTCATTTAATGATTTTTATACGCTCATAATTCATGTGGTGATACCTTATGAAAATTTAGATAGAAAGAATATTGTTCCTTGTTTTTCCTGAGTTCTTTGAACTACTAGGAGAAGCTGCTTTGCATTTAAGAGTGGTGAATCTGAAGTATTAATGGTGCTTCCTAGGAGACATGAGTCATGTTGCCAACAACATATTACTCTCCTGAATATCCAAATGCCCCACAGTTGCAGCTGTTGTGTGGTTGCATACCTCTCGTATGAAGTTTTCTCGCCCTTGTGCCAAGCCTTTAATTGTAGGATAAATCTGACTGGCAGTGCAGGACTCTCATGATTGATTTATTTAACATGACTCACAGTAACTGCATAGAGAGGGAGTTGTATGAAATGGCTGATAGTTAAGCACAGTTCCCTTTCTATCTCAGGATTTCATAGTGTATCTGATTATCCCAGAAGTTTGCAAAGGTCTTCCAGATGACCCTTTACTTGATCCTGGTATTCATGCCAAGATTAAGATCCAGCAGTTGTCCATGGTATCAAACCATTTTTGAGTATTTTTTTCTCTGATTTGTTGATGGAATCTCCCCCTTCTTGCTGGGGTAAGAATCTGTTTCAGTACTTCCCTGCTGCAGCTTAACAGAAGTGAAATGCTTCCAAGTGACTGAAAGGAAAATGTTTTTTATTCAGCTGAGGAAAGATGATTTGTCCTTAGCTTGATAATGGCACTTAGCCTTTATTTTCCTGACAACTTCACCCTCAAAAACAACTCTCATTTGTAGTTGTCTTCTGTAAAAGTTTATGAGCCAAAACATTTGTAGCAGAAGTTCTCTGTGAAAGCTGACCTTCTCTGTGGTACTTCTGTCTGTGCAATGTCTTAGTACTTCAGTTAAATATTAAATCTTTTCTCTATAAAAGATATATCTTTCTCTCTATTTGTCAGGGTTATAATATTCTCTGTTCCCCACTGGAAAACCCCTATTTTTCTGTTTTCCAGCTTTAATAGAGCATTAACCTAACTCATTTCACTGGTGACCTGCAGAGTAATGTCACATTTCAGTCTCAGTGCATTGTCAGCAATGAGTTTGTTTATCATTCAGGAAGAAGGGGTTATTTAGATTCATTAGAACTGGAATCTTGAAATAAGGGGGAAAAAAAGAAAACAACAACAACAAAAAAAAACAACAAAGGAAGTGCACTCTCCAAAAGACATTTAAATACACTCAAGTTTGGAAGACAGACAAGAAAATTTAGACCAAGAAGCATAAATCACTGAAGTAATCTCAGATTATATTGCTAGGGAGAACAGAAATATTATCCCTCAAATTGTCCTATGGTTGCAAGTCTGCAAAGACAAAATAGGACCATTGTTTATTTTCATTGTTAATTTGTCAAGATGCAGATAAGTCAGATTTTGGCTCTTTTCATGATTTTCCTCCTCCCCATCCCCACCACCCCCAATTATTTGGTTATATTCCTGTGGCAAAGAGGCCATTGGAGCTGGAGCCAAAGCTTTTTTTCTGAGAGCAGCCCACACGGAGAATTTAATTCCAGTCCTCCAAGCCATTCCGTTTTACAGTAGTCCCTTGAGAGTTCCACATACTTTGGCATTAGGCAATCTGCACGGATAAGGGTTTTGGTTAAAATCTTACGAAATTTTAATCAAAATATAGTGTAAGGAATGTAGATTAAAAAAAAAAAAAGTTTCTTGCTTCGTAGTAATGTCAGGTTTCTCTTTAAAGGTTGGACTACAGTGGACCATCAAGAGAGTTTTTTTTCCTGGTGTCCAGGGAGCTCTTCAATCCATATTATGGTTTGTTTGAATATTCAGCCAATGATACCTACACAGTACAAATAAGTCCCATGTCTGCTTTCGTAGACAATCACCATGAATGGTAAGAATTATTTTCTTTATGTTTTTCAGATACATTTTCTGTTATTGCCACTTGTAGAACAACTGCTCAAATATGCTCAGACATGTGACACAGAATCTGATCTTTTTAACCAGCAGCAAAGCAATTGCATTTCTTTAGACTTCCTTGATTTTGGTTTCTCTTGTGGTTTTTAAATGATCTTATTTCTCACAAGGTCAGCAAAATTATGATTTGGAACATGTATCATGGGATTGTCTCACAACACAGCTCCCTGCATTTCTTGTACATTAGCAGTCATTTCATGAAAGCAATATTAACCTCTGGTGTATTAGAAAAAAACAAGAAAAAATAACAACACATTGACTTTTTGTCAGCTAAGGAGATGAAGGGAGGTTTCAGGCACATATTACTGTATGTAATTTGTTTGAGTCTTCCTAAAGAGCACAGAGATCTCTTCAGTGGAAAAACCCCGACATACCTATTGAAAATAAATCTGTGGTGATATCTTAATTGGGGGTAGGAGGAAGACTGCTGATCACACAGCTTTGAAACAGTCTGTACATTCACCCATGCTTCTAAAATAGTTGTGGAGGATTTTTGCATAATCCCATTTTCACAATTATAAGCCAGTTTAAATCACCCCCAGTTGATTTAAGCCATGGCATCACCATAAATCTGTAAAGCTGTGCTTTACTATTAACAGAGAATTCTGCTGTGTAAGTAGTTGGATTACATTAATAGTGGAGTGACAGCTGCTCATCTCTGTAGGACAGATAGGCACTGAGCTCTTATTTTTTGAAAGCCGGTTATGAAGAATGAGTATCAGAGGGGAATCTCATTACTAATTTTACAAATGAAAAGAAAATTAACTGGTTGGCAGTTCAGTTAGTTGAAGCAACCTGCCTGTTGAACTCCAGTCCTTCAAGTCCTTATTGGAAAGGCAGAACAGCTTGGCATAGAGGTGAGAGAAAACCTTTATATGCAGCTTCTGCCAACGTTTTTTATTCATCCCTGGCTTCTGCAGTGCTGGACCAGAGACATTGGGAATGAAGGAGGCATTACCCCATCTCTTTCAGGGAATACTGGTTTTGTACAGCCCCAGGGGGAATTCAGAAAATGCAGTTGTGACAAGCAATTTATACATGGAAAGGGGAAGGCTCTGCATGTCACATCCTCATATTGCAAGCATTGTACAAGCAGGTAGAATAAAGTCCTGTTTTTTCCAAGAAAAACGTTGTAAAGGATACATAAACAGAAAGTTCAGGAAACATTTACTTTGAAAAAAACCACTAGAATTTAATCTAGTTCTAGAATTGTGGAAGAGTGCTCACAGTGGAGCTTGATTCTCATGGGAATATCTGAAAAGACCTTCCTATTTCAAGGTTGCTGCCATCTGATCTCAGCCTTGGCAAACTTCCTTCTTACACACCCAACAAAATGAAGATAGTAAGGGAAGAAAGAGAGAGGTGAGAGAAGGAGATTTAGATCCTGTTGACACAGAGCTGGAGAGCACTGCAATACATGAAAAGCTTTCTGGCACTGTTTGTGAAAATATACATGGAACTCCTTAACCACAGTCAGAAGAGGGAGCAAGGAGCCACTGTAGGCAGCAAGGACAGGCAGCATGAGCTGTCAGGCTGGGAAAGAGTAGAAAAACCTTTGGCCTCTCTATAACATGACAACAAATTAATCCTGTAGGGGTGTGAAATAAAAATAGGCAGTGGCTATCATTTTGGGAGATAATGCATTTATAAAGTGGCTGCTCTGGCAGGGGCTGATTTAATTAAATATGGATTTGACATTTTTGAGCAGTTGTAACTTAGGTATCCAAAGGATTCTCCACACCCTGCAGACTTGCTTTTTTATGTTATTTTTTTTCTCTGTGCCTCACTGAGAATGTTAAAGAAACCCAAGAAATAAACAAAAGTACCACAATTTAGACAGAGCTGTCTGATTTAATAATGCTGTTTGGAAATACATGCAAGTTTTGATGACAGAGCAGTGTACCAACCACAAAGTTTCAGTATCACGACTGTAACTCTTTCTCTTCCAGGTTCAGGTTTAGTGGTCGAATTCTTGGTCTTGCTCTGATACATCAGTATTTGCTGGATGCCTTTTTTACAAGACCCTTTTATAAAGCCCTCCTCCGAATGTGAGTAGAATTGCTCTGTCTCATCTTTCGTTTGGTTCCTTCCCCGTCAATGATGCCATTTTGTGTATGGATTATTTATGATGCTTTATTGACAAAGGAGACAGGCTGTTGTTTCTAATTTAATAAACTGATTTCAATCCATGAATTTTTGGAAAAATTTCCTCGTTTCCACTACCTCAGAATGTTGTTTGTGATCAGTATGAGAACCTCATGTTTTGTTTTAGCCCTGTTCCCACCTTTCTTCTACAAAATCTTAGATTTGAAGATGTACAAAGCAATGCTGTGGGCTTATTCCAGATATTAATAGAGTTCTTATTCATTTGTCATGTAATGACTCACAGATAGGGAATGAATCACTTCTTAACTTAGACTGCACCATCCATTCTCAGAGGTAGACTGATTGTTGGCAATCTCCATTTTGAGAAGCTGTACTTTGATAGACTTCAGACTTGGTTTCCAGAACCAGTGCTTCTGTTCTGGCTGAAGCAATGAGAGCTGTGCTTGCTCAGCATGTCTGGAACCTAAGACCTAATGAACTTAAGGTGCTTTATGTTTTATTTGAAAGCTGGTTTTGAGAAGTCTGGAAGCTTTTTTTTTCCTATAAAACATTGCATGTTCCAGTAGTGGGGAATAATTTATCCAGTTCTACTGCACATATATTTTACAAACCCCTAAATGCTAGCAGCATCATTTTAGTAATAAGGACAAGGAAAGGGAAAATATGACAAAAGGTAAAAAGATATTTCTGTGGTAAGCTGGAAATCGAAGCAGTTCAACAGATGATGAGAGATGAGGCAGTGTAGCCATATGAACAAAAAGGACACTGCTTGCTTGCTAAAAAAAATCTTGCAATTTCTTTTATTATCTGAATTCTTTGTCTCTTCCTTGTATGTATTTTCATAACTCCCAAATATGTTTCACAGGAAACATGGGGCAGACTCACCATAAGCTTAAGAAGCAAAGTGTCTTCAAATTAAATTCTGGAGTTTTGTATATTTACATAGTGATTTGGTGTTGTACAGTAACTGCTGTTACCAGGCAAATAAACAGAGATTTGAAGTTGTCCTCTTTATTGATGTTTCTCTTGGCTCCCATTCACAGTCTGTTTTGTCTGAGTTTAGTTACTGAGCACAGGCTGCTGCCATCATCTGTATTTGTGTGTTTTCTTCTTCTTTCTTCTGTCAGACTCTGTGACCTGAGTGACCTGGAATATCTGGATGAGGAATTTCACCAGAGTTTGCAGTGGATGAAAGACAATGATATACATGATATCCTAGATCTCACGTTTACTGTAAATGAAGAAGTTTTTGGGCAGGTGTGCAAGATTCTTCATTTCCTTGGTGGTGCATTCTAGTGCTAGTTAAACCTTTATTTGGACAGAAGAGAAAGTGTCCCTCCATGCTGCTTTGAACTTGTATTTTAAAAATTCCTGCTGGTGAAACCAATGTTGAAATCTAAGGAAGAATTATTATTATTATTACCCGGTCAAACATGTTTTTCTGGTTGAGGACGTTTTCTGGAGAATATCTGAAATATCAGACTTTAGGATTGCTTTGCTAGAAGTAGTTTAGCTGAATTTAATTGTAGCAAATTTGCCATTCAAAGGTATTGCAACACCTTTGTTAAGGTATTATTCAGAAAACTTCAGTACTTTAATCACTGTAAAGATTGTTTTCTCACCTTATTCTTAATACTAATTATGAAGATTCCTCATACTAAATGGAATTTTAAATATTATTAAAAAAAGAATCTTTTGTATGTTCTCTCGCTTCTTGTATTCCAGTTCGCTAATCAGGCTTGGTTAGTGATTTTGAGGAATTTTTTTGACTTAAAAATTATAATTATTACAATTCCTTCTTTTGTCTTTATAATAACTGTGTTGTCACTTGGTCATTTTTGTCCTAAGATCACAGAAAGGGAACTAAAGCCAGGAGGTGCCAATATCCCAGTCACTGAAAAGAACAAGAAAGAATACATAGAGAGAATGGTGAAATGGAGAATTGAGAGAGGAGTTGTACAACAAACAGAAAGTCTAGTTCGTGGTTTCTATGAGGTAAAATGCTCCAAAATGAAATTTACTGTCTTTCTCCTTCCAAAATAGTTTTCTCCTCGTATACATTTCCAAAATATGGGATCCCAAATACAATCAGGAGTGCCCTTGCAGATATTGGAAGGGGAAGGGAGGGTAAAAAAATTTTTTTTAGTCATTTATGTAAAGACTATGGTTATGTATCTTCTTTGCACTGGACAGTATTCTCAACCACTGTATGATTATCACTGAATCCTCTCTCTGTTTCTGCATTGGGTCTCTGGGACTTGTTTGTTTAAAAAGACAAAACCTGGATTCTGAATTACCTTAGTAGCAGACTTTATGGGGAGGCACAACTCAGTCAGTACATGAAGTAATGCTGCTATGCATTTTATTTCCTTTCACAGGTGGTTGATGCAAGACTGGTGTCTGTATTTGATGCCAGAGAACTGGAACTGGTTATAGCTGGAACAGCAGAAATTGACCTGAGTGATTGGAGAAATAATACAGAGTACAGAGGAGGTAACTTGAATTTTGACTTGCTCAGTGGGAGTGTTGGGGACTGTGGAACTACCCAGTTCCCAAGACAGTAAAGAACCATCACATGAGATATATTTATAGTAACTTTTGAACTTCTCTGGTTAAGTTAGTATTAGGGGAAGGTAATTTGTCCATTTCAATTTGCTTCATTGCATCCCCTTGCAGCTCTTCCCTGGCTGTTCTTGCCCAGAGAGCATGACAGAACACTATTCTCTACAGAAAGTACCATGCCCAGCTGCACACTGGGAGGGTACCTCCCAGACTTGGAAAGAAATGGAAATGGAAATGGTAGCCATTCTTAGTCAGATATTCCTCCTTTTTTTTTACACACTCAAAGGTGACAGAAAATTAGAAGAAATCCCAGTGGCTGAGGCTAGTAGTTGAGATAATTTGAGAACAACAGAAGATCTGAGAACTGTGAGAGAGATGGTTGCAGCATCATCTGTAGCTTTGGATAAATAAATAGCACAGTATTGGAATATTTCAAGAATTGCCATTCCTGTTAGTGATTGATTAATGGAAGAAATATTTGCACAAGGAATCTCACTTCTTTCTGTCATTCTCTGCCTTTAGGATATTTAAACATTCTAGGGTATTTTTCTCTCACCTCCTGCCTTTTGATGCCATTGGATAAAGAATATGGCATTATTGTGACTCGGGCTAAACTAGGAAAAGCTTACTAACTATTGCCTCTACCACTTCCATAGCACCTAAAAGTATAAAGGCTCTTGTTGTTTTAACAGGTTATCATGACAATCACATTGTAATTCGGTGGTTCTGGGCTGCTGTGGAGAGGTTCAACAATGAGCAACGACTAAGACTTTTACAGGTGAGAAATCAGCTGATCTGTGTAAAAATAATTAAAATTTGATGCTAAACTAGCCTCACCCTAGTTCAAGATACTCAGAAATTATGGTGATGTTTGCTAGTGGGACTAGCCTGAGTCAGAAGATAAATGTAATAATTTCAAGTGACCGAAGCTCACAACTATTTTTATAGATTTCTAAGTTAAAAAGTAAATTTAAAATACAATGGCTGATGTCAATAATCCTTTACTATTGTTTGATTAAAAGTACATTAAGACTCCTAAAGATAGAAAAGGAAAACTGTGTAATTGATTATGTCATTAGGTAGAAATGTTAATAGTATTTATACAGCTTAGGAAGGAGAAACCTTAGATGGAAGTTCAAGGCCTCAAATTAGAAAATAATGATGGAAACCTTAAAGTCAGTCCAATTCCATTTTCACTAAACCTGCAGGTTCCAATCACCCTGCTTCTGGAGGACAAAATATCTCAACAGAAGAATATTTCTACATATGGGTTTACTATTGAGTTAAATTTTAAAAGTTCAGGTTACATCCATCCTATCTGTAAGGAAACAGACAAACCTCCACTGCAAGCCATACCACGTTATTGATCTAATACGAAATCTGCTGGTTTTAACAATTCAGAATTTTTATCTGATCACTGAATTATGAAGAATTTTCTTTTTTGAATCTGCTTAAGTATTTTTAAAAAGCCAGTGAAAAGGCTGTGTGGAACATCTCATTTGATGAGGAGACAGAAATGTCTGCTTGTATGTTCCTATCACATCTTAGTCAAAGGTTTTTATAATATCCAGGTCATTGCAAATTAAGTAATCTCTGATCTGTCAAAAGCTATGTTTGATCTGTTCATGACAGTTTGTAAGTAAAACTGCTCACCAGTCAGTATTTCAGCAAATGTCAGTGGGCACACCTAACCTTCAGAATTTAGTCCTTTTCTTGCAGTAGTTAATTGTGGTTTATAAAGCAATAAAAATCCGTATAGCTAGAACTAGGCATAACATGAAGCCACCAGACATTACTACTTTTTGTATTAATTCCTTTTAATGCAGGAAACGACAGCAAAAAACTCACTTAGGCTTAAGTCTGAGTAACTGGATATTGATAGTGTGTTATTCCACAGTATTTATGCAGCAGAAAACCTTTGGAGGAAATGAATCTGCTAAGCTGAATCTTGTAGAGCCCAGCCAGGAAATGGCCTGTTTGCCCTTAGCCTCCATGTAAAGTAGCATTTATTGCTTGTGCCTCACGAATTTCCCTGCTTGCCAAATGCTTTTCCCAAAGCCTTTGGGTTGCTGTGAGTGCCTCCCCCAGCCCGTGTGTGACAGCCCAGGCCTGTCCTGACTGTGTTTGTGCTGCCAGTTTGTCACAGGCACGTCCAGCATTCCCTACGAAGGCTTTGCCTCTCTCCGCGGGAGCAACGGGCCCAGGCGCTTCTGCGTGGAGAAGTGGGGGAAGATCACGGCTCTTCCAAGGTACAGCTCTGGCTACTGATGCCAGGGTGGCTTCACGGTGCCACTCTCTGGGGTAACACATCAGCTGTTTGGCAAACATTAGCAAGCTTTCACTGAATATGCAAATATACCTTCCCTTACATGCAAATTTCCTTCCCCGTTGTTGCGGTGTCCGATGCATCCATTTTGGCTTGAGCTCAGTTTTGTTCTCTTAAGGCAGTGTAACTGGGGCTGACATCCACACTGTAGTGTTTTTCTCATGGAAAATTATCTTAGAATGATAGCTACTTCTGACTTTCTTTGTTACATTTGATTAAACGTGCAAGTGTTTACTTACTGAACATGCAGCTCACAAGTTAGGAGCAAAAATTAATATGAATTAAAATGAAATAGCTCTTGTGACTGTGTCTGACTGAAAGCTACCATCATATTTTTTGCATCAGACACAGGCTTTATAGTATACTTTCGTGATATAATTTTTATGCTTGGTCTGATGTTGAGTGTTAACAAATACTGAAGAGGCAAGTTGTGAGTGCAGAATAGGTGGGAGGGAGTAATTCCACTTGAGAAGCAGCAAGAGGGACAAGAGAAGGTGAGGATTTCAAACAGAACAAGTAAGATCAATTGAAATTGTTGAAGTGGGTAAGGGAATGGTATGAGAGTCCAAGATATGAAAGCAGAAGTTGAGTTGTGTAAGCCCTTGGAATTTATATTGGGTAGGGCAGGTTTAGAGGAGTAGGATGAAAAGATTAGGAAAAAAAACCAACTTTCCAATTTTTAGAGCAGAAAAAAGAGTCCTTTTCAAAGGTCCATGGCAACAATGCCAGGACTAGACTAATAACATGTGAATGATGAACGAAACACCTTCAGCTTGGTTTCTTCGTTGACAAAAAATGACAGGTTCTTGTCTTTTCTCTACTGTGATCAGACTGATACCTGGGAGATTTTCTTTCACCCAGTTCTGTGATTCTGCAGCCTCTAGAATGAATTAGGAGTAGTTAGACACAGGTTGGTGTGTGGAGTGTGGGCAACCTAACTCTGCTTAATCAGACCTCATCTTTAGTATGTCGTGTACAGCCTCTGGAGGGGGCTTTGGGCTGGGCTGATCCATGGAGGAAACTCAACCCTAATCATAAACCTTGTTTACTCCTCACAAACAAGATGTCTCAGGAATAACTTGCATTCAGAGTCTCCTCTTAGACACAGGGTGGTGGTCAGAGACACAGAGAGTCTCTCTGACCAACAGCCTGTAGGATTTTCCTCCAGCACAAGGTCGGAGGCAGAAATGTCTCTTGTGTTGGCTCCTGCCATCAGAACTGCATGGAGAAGGTCATGAACACAGGAGTGCTGTGAAATCCACAGGCACAGCAGGTGGCCTTTAAACAGAGCCATCTTTCCTGTTTACAGCACAAATGAGAGCCAGACAACTGAGGATTGAAGGAATCCAAATCCTGAAAATCGCTATTTCATATCAAATACTCTAATGTCATCTGGGGGCCTAGTAATATCTTGTAGCCCAGTAAGTCTCCTTTATAGTTTGATTATGATTGGCCTATGGACTAGCTTTAATTCTGTTTAAAAAGTAATAGCTGTAACTTTTTAAAAAATAATTTCTGACTTCAAAATTATTTTTTTTTGTGAGTTTAAGTAAGAAAAGAGATTGCATGATTTTTTCCATATATTCTCTGAAGCTGAAATTCCTGGTGCTTGCAAGCAGAGCTTGCAGCATGGAAAAGGTCAGGACCTGCCAGAACAGGATGTTCAAAATTTCCTCTGGAAAGGTTATGCAGAACCATGGTTGTGATAAATTGCAGAATGAAACTGCTTCCAGAAGTGCAATATGGAGAAACACGTTGAGAATCTTTGCTATCATAGGCCGTTCATCAAGTTTAGGGGAAATGCCAACTTCTCACATTTAAGAGATTGTATCATTCGTTGAAATTTCACTTACGTTTCCCTTGCTTAGGAAACACTTGATTTTTGTCTCTCTGGATCGTTTTTACCATACAAATGTGAGAATTAAAGTAAAAACAACTGTGTGTGACAAACACCTACAGTCATCATGAGCAAGCAGCTCCTGGTATCCACACATGGGGAACCTTGAGCTCATAAAAAATGAAACATCTTCCATGATAGTAGTGCTTAAATGGGTTAAGCCCCAAGCTGAAAGCACTGTTTGCATTTTTACCTGTGTAGTTCTTGGATGCAGTGCAGCTTCAGCCTGGGTCTCAGCAGCCTCTGAGACTCCCCGTGCAAACACCGGCTACTGCTGGCTTGGAGGTAACACATCAGTAACTACAACCCCGAGTAGCAACTTTGAGAAGGTTTCCAAACAAGCCCAGCATGTGTAAACACATCGCTGGATCTGCTGGGAACGCTGCCCTAGGACTGTGTGACTCTTACTGATTCTCAGATAACTAAAGCTTTTATGTTAAGGCACCATCACTCACTCCTAGCAGTGTTGTACTTTGCAAATTGCCCTCTTAGCAGGAGTGCTTGTGAAATTTGATAGTGCTCAGTGGAAAAGTGAGGATTTAACAGGTCAGTGGACTTTGTGTCTTCCTCTGTTTCTAAAAACACTGCTGCAATGCTGAAAACATGTAAGAATACCTATCTCTTCTTCCTGGTCTGAGAGACAAAGGGACAGCTAGGATAGTCACTTAGGTATGTGGCTGTGGCCTAAGCAGCTGTGAATGTAAACACAGAAGTTTTCACTAGATGTTTGCCTAGTTCCCACTGTTCTGACTGCTGTGTAATCAGCTCTGCTGAATCCAAATAGTGAGATTTCTGTGAGGTACATGTCAGGTTGCCGAGCTTGTATTGCTGTCTTTTACACTAACTAGGCAGCATGTACAATGCCCTGGAAAGATTGATTATTACGGCTCCAGCTTAACTACTGCTACCCCAGTGCCACTTCTACTTCCTTCTTTTGCACTGTGTTGCAGATTAGACTGAACGAGGGGAGGGTCTGCTACTCTTTCAATTCACTGCCATGCTGAGAGATTGGTTCCAGGCTCATTGCTGTATATTAATTTATTCATGCCTGTGATGATTCACTTGAAAATGATATTTGTCTGACTCCTGCATTTTAAGCCTAAGCCAGTCTCTTTTAGTACATTAATTAAAATGAAGAGGAATTTAATTGGGAATCTGCGAATTTAGGCTTTAGGAACCAAGATGGGTTTTTGTGTTGTTAAAAGATGTGAGCCCAGGAAGATGAACAGTTAGTGCCTATGTGGTTTGAAATGTTGGAATGGGAAAATATTACCCAGAAGGAAAAAAATGCATTTGTCTCAAGGACTTAGGAAGTTGTTTGCTGGGGTTTGAAAAGCATGCATCGCCTCAGAAGACAAAGGTCTTGTTTTTGTCCTTTTTAATTACTTGGTTTTCCACAGTAAGTGATTCCATTTTCGAAATTGCCCTCAAAATAAGATAAAACTCAGTTCTCTTAATAAATGTAAACAACGTGCCAGCTTACTATTAAACCAGTTCCTAATGAATCCCTTGCTAATTATATACTGTGTCTTTTATAATTTGTGGTTTTACAGCCCACACAGCATGATCCATAGTTCTAATGAGTGGCTGTCAGCCCCATGGAGCAGAAGCATGTGGTTAGGCTCTTAATTGCCTAAGACTCTTCAACACTCTACATTGAATTTAAGGGATCACTAAGTTCCATTTGCTGCTGGGCTTAAATCGGTCTTTTTCTTCAAAAAAGAGTATTTTCAATTTTTTTAAAGTACTCTGTGGGAAATGGAATAATTTAATCTATACCACATGTATTATTTTATAAGGTTTTTGGAAAGGCAAAGGAGGAATAAAAAGAGAGCTTTCCTCCAGGAGTCTTGGAGTGATGGCTGGGTAGAAAAATTTTACCAGACCCCTGGAATACAGGATGGGGAAATGGCATTTCTGCTATACAGCATGCAGCAGCAGTGTTCTTCTAAGGGTACTGTATTTGGGGAGGGTGCTAAAGGCAATGTTTTTTTAAGTGATTGCACGTTTGGTGTTTGGACTATGTTTATAATAATGGTGTGACCTAGTGTGCTGTGTACACATATCTTCAGCCTGATATTTTTATGACACTGCAAGGCTGTAACTGAGTGGTTGTTTCAGCTTCAAGAAGTTTCAGTTTGTAATGGACTCTTGAGTTTTTTAACAAGCGAGATTAACCCACTTCACTCCATGTTCCATTCCCAGAGCTGGGAGCTGAGAGGCACTTAAAGTGGCAATTATGAATTTGCTCACGTGGGAGAGTAGCATCTTCTGGCTCAGAGAAAGTCTGTACAGGTCTGTGGTAGACAGCTGGATTTCTGGAACTGGTTAGGTTAAATGAGGAGCATTTGCTGTGAGGAGGGAGCTTGTTCAGTCCTTCCTTATAAACATGTTAAATATTTACACTTAATACAGATCATACTGATGAAGGGCAGGGCACTGCAGGAGTTTAGGTTTCAGCTGGATTGAATTTAAATAAATAACTCTATGTTGTATTTTATTGCAAAAGAATGAAGTATTTGTAAACAGAGACCTGCCAAAATACTAAAATCAGTCTAAAGTGAGGCTTTGTTACAAAGCTTTAGAGCAGAAGAGATGCCTCTTCCAGTTTCTCTTTGCATCATTTCATCCTCAAGAACTCATCACATTAATAATTACATTATCTATTTCATTAGAGCAGGCTCATTCACTACAGTCTTTTAGAAAGTACCATCCTTAGCATGCCCTGAGGTCAGGCAATGATATCCATGATTCCACTAGGAAGAGAAACCTTTGTTATCTCCCTTTTCATTACCTGGAGGAGGTTTTGAGAGACAGTTCCAAGTGTGTCAACAAACTTGAGGTAGATGGACGTCAAAAACTGAGAAATAAATCACAAGGTCGCTCTCTTAAGAAAGCAGGGTGGTTGCCAGAGGTTCGTGCATGGTTTTGTGTAATTCCAAAAGCTGCTGGCCTCTAGGGCAGATATATCCATTGGGAATATCAGCACAAGCAGTAGCACCTCAACAACATCATCCATATGCCAAGGAAATTGTAGAAGGAAGAGCAGCTAATTGATCTGTTTTTTACCACTGTGGGATTGTTTTGTGTAGATCTGGAGATGTATGGAAATATTTTGTTTATCATTACAAATACAGTATTCAAGTATCACCCATACAGAAAAGGAAGGCTACGTCTCAGAAGACTCATTTAAAGCCAAGATTTCAGATCCATACTGTTTGAATTGTACCGTGCCAAATCATTCTCTTTTTTTCTCATGCACATTTGATGGATAAAATTTATCCCATTCCTTTTGGACTGTCAAGATGTTTCTAAAGAGCTTCATAAATGCTTCTTACTGCCTTATTTTAATGAGAAGAAAGTAGATTAAACCTCACTACCTGTTCAGTTGGAAAACATCATCTGACAGAACAAAGTCTTCTAAAAGAATACTATCTGCCCATCTCTATTCCAGCACATACCAATCTGTGTGTTCTCTTTTGAACTTTTCAAATAATACACTTCTTTACCTCCTCTCTCTTTTTCCCCTCAGGGCTCACACTTGTTTCAATCGTCTGGACCTTCCCCCTTACCCATCATTCTCTATGTTATATGAAAAACTGTTGACAGCAGTAGAAGAGACAAGTACTTTTGGACTTGAGTGATACACAAACCACAGTGCCCAGCTCATTGGACTTTTGTGGATCTGTCTTCTCAAGGAATGAATGAACTTTTGTATTTGATTTCCTAGAGGAAAATTGTTTCATGGTGCAATTCAAATAATGAGGTTCCACGAAGGAGCTTGTGAAGCAATTAAAAAGCATTGTGGTAGTGGCAGAATTCTCAACAGTGAAACTACAGTGTGCCTGGTGTGCCAAGGGAAAGCCAAGTCTTGCAATCCATGGGTTTTTGGGATGGTTACACTTCTTAAACTTATGTTCTGAGCAAACCAGAAACGTGATGCCATGTTGTGATCCATCTGGCTACTGCAAAACTGACATGTACCCAAGGACTGGATTTCATCAAAGTTGTTGAATAGAAAATTCAAGTCAAAATGTGAAATCATTCAGCCCCTTACCTACCCAGTAAATTATCAAAAAAGCATACAACTTAACTTTATAAATTCTTTTTTTTTTTAATTCATGAAGGTACATTACTTTATGCCATATAACAGCATATCCAACACTTGCTTTACCTAAGACTATGAGTGCCTGCATGGGGAACACCATAGAGCTCAAGTTCCTGGGGCAGAAGTGAGTTGGAAGGGAAAGTCAGCAACAAAGGATGTAACAACAACGGCTTGTGCATTGAGGAGGTTTGTGGAAATGCCAGTGGTGTGTATGACAAAATATGGGCTGTTACAATGAACTTAATAACTTAATAAGACTGATTTTATGCTTTATACTGCATGGAAACTATTTTAAGAAGAAACTAGCAATTTATCACAGCATATCAGGAAAAAACCCTAACACAGTGACTTCTGTTTATTTTTATAGGTTCATTATATTATGTTTCTTAGAGTGTAAACAGGAAACAAGCAAACAAAAGTGTTATTTCTGTTTTGTCACTTTCCATGCTTGAACAGACATTCTGCTAGTGTTTATTCTTTAAGCACTCTCCAGGGAAAAAAATGCCTTTTATTTTTATAAGAGTAAAACAACTCCCGAAAATATTTTGCACTGAATGTACCAAAGTTGAAGGGACATTATGATCTGACTGATAGCAAATTGCATCACTATCAAATATCTATAAAAATGCTTAGGAACCAGGCTTTCTTCACAGTGCCATGTCTATAGATATCAGGACTGTGCACATAAGTAATAATTTTATAATACTATATGTGATATTGTAATATGCATTTATTTTAAATGCATCCGGGTCATTTTTCATGCATTGGATAACTTAATGCAGTGGAGTTTAATACAGATATTTCATATGCTCCCCACAACTTTTTATTTGTACAGCACTGTAAAACACTAGCTCATTTGGAAAACCATGAATAACTTCTTTAAGGTGAGCCACTGGTCATAATGCCACTGTCCTGTATCAGTGAACACCTACAAGATGTAAAGTGTTCGTAGTGTCCAAGCTTGCATTTTCACTGATAAATAGTTTTCTTATCAAATGTTATTTGAAGCAGTTTTTATGGCATATCAAACACTGCATGGACACCGATTTCTTTATGCTTAATTTTGCTGAAATACACGAGGCTTGCTCGCTTCTATTTTTGGTACTTTTCCTCCAGATGGTCTTGTGGAACACTTGTGCAGCTGCGCTCCGTTTCTTGCACAGCTGCTGTCACGCACTGCATCCACCACATTTTCAAATTCCAGGAGTTGCGCTTGGATACTGGATAACAAGAGCACGAATCCTGCTCTGTGCCAGCCCTTTTGGTAGCACAGCCAGCTCTGTTCTGTGGGAAAAGTAGCTTTTGAAGTACCCTTCTCACTTTGGAGGCTCTGGAAGGGGCATCTGAGGGAGGTGTCCTGCTTGTTCTGGTGGGAGGTTTTTCCCAGCGGAGGCGAGCATCCCTGGAGATGTTGTCAGCAGAGACTGCCAGTCCATCCTCCGAGGCAGAAGGCAGCTGCAGCTGTGGTGGTGACTCAGAAAACCCTTCAGACTTATTGAGGAAATGTCACATATGCAAAGGAAAAGCAAAATCAGGGGGAAAGCATTGTTTTATTTCAAGAAATACTGAGCTCTTCTGCATGACATCTGGGACTCTCTTAAGTAACTTAGGTTTTCTTAGGCTACTTCTGGCTGGTATGAAGTAGCAAAGAAAAATCCAAACACATCACCCTGTTACTACATGTATATTTATCAGTCTTTGCTAAGATTGCATGTCACAGGTCCTAATGCACATCTCTTTTCAGAACATGAATGAGCAGTAGGCAAACTGACTTTTCAGCGCGTCACTCCAGCACGGCTCATGTTTCATGGGATCCATTCACTGAGTAGTAGAACTCTGGCACTCGGAGCAGAATGCAACTTCTGATTGGTTGAAAGACTACAGAATTTTCATTTTACAACACTGTGTTAACTGTGGTCTTAAAAAAGAGATTTCCCAGGTGGAAACTGTATCAACACGTTTTGAACCAGATACTCTTTGGAATGAAAAGTTTAAATATTTGGCACAAAGTAAGTTTATACTAGTTTGCCTTTTAAGTTATGCTTTTGTACAAAACTAAAACAATAAATGCATCTTGTCAATTTTTATTTAAATATATCTACTGCACCCATTTGTTCTGTACTTATGCATGTAAAAATAACTGAAATCAGCCATGATAATGTGGTATTCTGTAAAGATGTGACAAGGCCACGAGTGGGGCAGCTGTCAGTTAGAAAACAGATTAAAAAAAAAGAAAATCCAGAATATTTGTAGCACTAAACCCAAGAGAGACTAAGGAGAAGTTGCTGCTTCCTCCTGTGCTGCCAACATCCCCTGGGGGACTCTAGAAAAGCACAGAGTGAAGATTGAGGTGTCAGCTGGGTACAGCTCCCTGTGCCGCCTGGAGCACTTGGCTCTTTATGACAGTGCAAGTGATGCTGCTGCTCTGAAGGGATTAGCAAGGAGGGAGTATAGGAAAGGAAGCCTGAGCTCAGTCAAATACCCACATCTCCTGGCAACTGCTTGGAATGTTCTCCCTTTGGTTTTGGAAGCCATTCCTGTTCAGTGTGTCCCAAGGGAGAGCCAGCTTCCATGTCCTGCAGCTGACTGCAGCAGGCAACCAGGATGCTATGGTTTATGACAGAGTGTAGCAGGAATGAGAGTCCACACAGAGAAGGGCTGGGGAGCCTTTCCAAAGTTCTGTATCTCCTCAGAGCTTTTCTAGATGGTGCTAAGGAGTTTTGCATTTAGGAAGGAAAAAAGTAGAATTCAGCCAATGACAGCTCATACTAACTTAACCCTTAACCCGCAGCATCTCCATCACACAGAGGCTGGCAAGGGATGTCCCTGCAGGAATTTAAGTGAAGGATCCATGTTTTCTGCTTTGCTGGGAAGTGCAGCTGCACATCACCAGCCAAAAAGCAGCTCCCAGGTCACTGCAGCCTGGGCAGGCTGGCAGCAGCGTGGCCTCAGGCCCCCACACTCCAGGGCCAGGCACCCTCTCCCCAGGTCCCAGCATCCCAGCAGAGGTGTGCTTTGCTCACCTGGTGCTGCTGGCACCAGGTTATGGCCAGAACACTCCTGAATACACCAAAAATCTTGGAATCCATGAAATTGTGCAGTGTGACACTTGCTGTAGCAAGCAGTCACCCATTCAGAGTCTGCAGCCAGCAGCTGTGAGGGGAGTGGTGCCTTTGCCCACAGCAGGCAGGGCACAGCCATCTGTCACACCACCAGCAGCACCGGGCAGGGCAGGAAAACCTTTCAGTCCAGACCTTCTTCCCCACCCCCTCCTTGCCTGCTGTTTTTCCTCAGTATTCATCAAATATTTGCCTCCTTTTGCTTTTAAACATAATTTTCATTATCCTTGTACTGACCCTACCATAAAAAAATGTTAATATGGCTTAGAGGGTATGTGGGGTGAACTCTTCTGCATTCACAGGCCTGCTCATGGGCACCACATGAGCTCCACATGGCAGCAGTTAACCCCAGGCACACAGGGGTGGGGAACATCTGTAATCTTTGGGGAAACTGAAAATCTAGGCAGCAGCATCCTGGCAGGACATCACACAAAGCTTCTGGTACGAGTTGGACTGGCAGAGCACTGGACTGGTAGTTTGCTCAGTTTAAAATTATAGGAGAGAGAAGAGGCTTGTGGTTTCTATGTATTTTTAATCCTTAAAAAAAAGGTTTTTAAAAAATTCCTTCTGAAACATTTGCAATGGTATCATCTGGTTGTTAAATGTAATTTCAGCAGTATTAATTGCAGATGTTTACTGAGTTTCTCCAGTGGTAGCTGCAGAGTTTTATGGAGCTGCTTGAAGCATGCTGTCTCTGGATTGAGTCCCTATTCACATCAGGGGAATCTTCAGCTGCTGTGTTTGAATGGCCAGTGTAAGTTCACTTCCCATAACATAAAGCAAGTTACTTCTTTTCAGTGAATGAAATTTATCTGCATTAAATTATACTAACGGTGTTGTTTTTCCTGCCACTTTTTTTATGTGGAGGGTTAATATATTCCTGTTAGCACTAATGGGAATTGAGCAGAAGGTTGATCTCCAGTTATAAGATTGCAGATGTAGCTTTCATCTACTGTTGTTTTCCCTTCTCATCCTTTTCTCTCTGGGCAAGCAATTGAACTCCAAGCAAAATTTCAGAAGAATTACTCAAAGCTGGCTTCTTAAACTATTTGTGTTTCGGCTCAATTATGTGCTATAAAACAGAACTGCAGAAATGCTATGGGTTGACTGGCTCATCAGTTTAAGTAAAAAATTCTTTACAATTTTGTTAGTGCAACCACAGTGGCTGCTGTTGGACTAGTCTAACCTTTTGCCTAAATATTTTACAATATTTTACAAAATTTTATTACAATATTTTACAAAAAAGAATTTTGGAGGTTGAACTTGATATGACTTGTTTGCTGGAAAAATAAATATACATTAGTAAATAACAGAGGACAATAATTTTACTGTAAAGGCAGTATAACCCACTTCTGTTAGCAGTATGCAGAATTACAATGCTGACCCTCCAAACACAGAATTTTCACAATGAAAGATGGTTTGTATTTTGCATGTCTTCCAGATAGACCATAAGCTTCATAGTGCTTCTGTTCAGCTTTAAAAATGGACTAATTTTGGCACTATGCTAATACTATTTAGGATGTTCATTGCTATGAAATGTTTTTTATTTAAACTTTTTTAGTATTTTTAAATATTTTCCTTTAGGACTTTACTTCATAGGCTTTGCTCAGAGCCATATTATGCTGTAGGTATTTTAAGGTAAATTCATGCTTATTTGATAATTCTGTTTTGTATGACTGACCTTCTGGCTACTGCTTAGAAGGGTTCCTCCTGATTGTTGGTAAAAGGATGACTGTCAAGGGCTGCTGGAATGGTTACAATCCATTGAAGTATCTGTATGTATTCAAAATGCATTTAGAAATACCTCCTGAAGTATTAGTTGCTACACTCATTGATTGGCCCCTTTCTAAGTCAATAATTCAAAACTTGAACTTGTTTCCTTTCAGATTACATTGCAGAATAATTATACTAAAATTTTAACTAGAGATGTATTCTGACAAATTTCTCAAAGCTATGATGGATGTGAAAGGGAGCCTAGCTATGCTGCTCTCAATCCTTTCACCCATTAAAAAACTTCTGAATAATCAAACTTTATCTTTTGGGTTTCATTTGTTTCTTGTTTTCAGAACTTTGAGAAACTTCTCATTCAGCCCATATGAGAAAAAACCTTGCCTACTTTGAGGCTTTTGTTAAGCACTCAGGAGGTATATTGTTCAACTAATTTAACATACTTTTGTGCTGACATCAATTAGCTTTTAAATGTATAGACCTACAAAACTCCACAGGACTCTGGTCTCCCTTATTCTGGGCTGCCTTACAAAGCCATCCATCCTGTCCCTTTTGATTGCACATAATCCTGCAATCACCCAGAGACAATTGCTGACCACCTACACTGACTGTAGCTGTAGTATCACAGTAAGACTGGGTTTGGGTTTGCTTTCAAAAGCAGCTCCCTCATTCCAGAGTCGACAGGATCACTGTTACACTCGTATCAAGACTAAGAGGTTTAAGAAAAATAGTTACAAAGATTTTTTTAAATAGTTGATTAGGTATCCAAGAGTAAAATATCTTTTGGTTTTGGTTCTGCAAAATTAATGAGGCAGGGGATTTTGCTTGCAATGTTTTATATTGCCAGAATTTGTGGTCCCCATGGGCTGCCCCAGGCTGTTGGCCAGGTGGGTGCAGAGCCTTTGCAGTGAGGCAGGTGATGCTGCTCCAGAAATCACAGCAGCAGCAGATCTGTTACTGTAGTGAGTGAGGACTGTGCCTTCCACAGCTGGAGGCCTTCTCATGCAGCTCTTGAACTGGATTCTTCCCAAAAGCTTGTTCTATCTGTGATGCCTGCTAATTGCAATACAAGCAGCTCGTGACACACTCCACTGACTATTCAACATCTTTCATTTTAACCGAGGATTACATTTTTCATAGTTAGAAATGCCCATTCCGCAGTATAAGGACAATAAAAGAGGATTTTGCTCAGACATCATCATACTTGATTGCCATTCTGACTGCAGTCAGACGTTGGAGCTCACTAATTTTAAAGTAGATTACTGTATGAATAAGAAAAAAATCTCGGAAGCCTCATAAATAATTCTAAGAAGGAATGTAATTGTAGGTGCTGTAATGATAAGGCAGGGCAGTTCCACACAGCACATGAGATACAGCCATGGAGGAGTGCTGGAGAGAAGACGAGTCTGAGAGTAGGCACAGAAAAAGGACTGCACTTAGAGGACAGGGAGCAGGACAGTGAGCTGTGATGACCCGTGGGATGTAAATAAAACAGGATACTTCCTGCTTGAAAATCAGGCTATGATAATGCACCTAGGAAAGAATGACTGTTCATCCTGAAATACGTTGGTGCAACTGCAAGACATGCTTTAACTGATTATTAGCTATTGAAAGTCTTAATGACACAATCAGAAAAATTACTTCTGT